AGTATATTATTAAAAAACTTACCCAAAAATGTCTTGATAGGCGGCATAGCTTTGGTAGGCATAGCCTTATCATTAGTAGCACTAGGACAGATGAGACCTAAGGGTATGCCCAGGTCCACAAGTTCCATTTTACGCTTCATATCTTCAATCTCATGTAATGTACGCTTTTGGAGTTCTGTATAGGAATCTGTAACATTTTAAAGTTTATTGTTAATATTTATTATCAAAAGAACATTTGCTATAAGCCATCTTACTTCTCTTATCATAAGTTATAGTAATAGCAGAAATAGACGAACAAACCAAACTGTCACCATATCGTCAATTTAGTTCAGCGGTCCAGTGGTATCCATTGAAAATGTGCGACGGACCGCTATACACACTATCTAATATGGTCCGGAGCGGACTAAAGTGACGGTTCAGTTCGATAGTCTATTTGTGTTTTAAAGGTATGCACTATACCTCCCATTTTTCAATTGCAATTGCATGTTTTAAGGAGTAGGCAGAGTTGCATTTACAGTAACAATCACATTTACCAGTTCAAATCAACGCATATATTTCAACTAATCTACATAAAGGTAATTTTAGACAGAACTTTGCAAGGTTTCAGACTTGGAATTAGATAAATTAATACTACACTCATATATTGGAAAGATATTGGTCTATAATGGCTATGGATAGGTTTATTACAAACTAAATGAAACATGGTTTTTAAGTGTAGGAGAGCCATACTTCGGCATGAATAGGCCGGCTTGACCGGAGTGATACCATGGCCTCACAGAAAACCGACGTGAAACAACGGCGTTGTGTTTCGTCGTGCGTTGCACAAATTACTGATCCCCAAAAGCTTAGTAACGTCTTTGTGAAGCTTCTGGCGTTCCAGGTGTCCATGACAATTGCTTATCATCAAGTGATCCGTAAGCTCGTTTACCGGCTTATCAGACTTAAAAAATTACCTTGCATGATCTTCCTAGCCTGACCAGGTTTTGGAGGCTTTGGTGGCTTCTTCTGTTCTGCATCGTCTTGTTTTTCTACCTTCGGAGTAGTCTTCACATGATTCAGTTTACCGATGAATACTGTTGTATCTGAAATATTATAAGAATTAGATGTTAGTAAAATAAATTTATTTGAATATAATACGGTATCATGGTATATCATGACCAATGTGATTTTTTCAGAGTTATATGTACTTTGATAGATTATCTAGACACCACAAACAGACAGTGAAGGAAAACATCATGAGGCTACTTTCAAACTTATAATTCCTAATTATAAGTTTGAAAGTAGCCTCATGATTTCAAACTTATAATTAGGAATTATAAGTTTAAAATCACTAACCCACATTGAGCAAATGCGGTGATTAATGCTCAAACCTTCCTGCTTCTCCATGTGAGAAGAGGCAAAGATTCGGTCTTTGTGATTGATGATTGGGTCAGCAGTGACCACTTATAGGCTGTTGATGATGATGTATCATAAAAACTAGAGTAGTATAAGGACTAAAACTAATAAAGGTTGTCAAGTCATGTACAGAGGTATTAACAAAAATCTAAAATAAATTACTCACTTCCTCCGCTAATAGCTTTGGGAACAGGAACAGGTGCTATTGGACTCTTCTTCTGTATGGAGAATGCTCTCAATCTCTTTTTAGCATTCTCTACTCCTTTCTGTGACGGGACTAGCTTGAAGCCGATAGTGCTTGTACTCGGTTTCGGAGTTGCGGTTGTTGGTATTCCAATATCAGACTAGAAAACAAATATTGTATAGTTTTTTATGTTTCATTTTAACACTAGAAGGGCCAGGCTTCTAGCTATACCTTCAAAGACCGCAACGGTCAATTTGACGGTACTAGAGATTAAGTCAGAATACTTATGAAATTATTGCATATTTTGCATTAAAATAAAATAAAAATAATATAAATGTATTTTTTTACTAATAGTAAAAAATGCATTAAATTGAGTAACATGTAGCAAGTACCTAATAGTTTTTTAAACTGTTTTCTACATTTTCCACAAACAGGTTTTTTACAGATAATGCAGTTTTCACATGTTTTATTTTTTTTACAATTACTGTTGATTTGACATCTCTTATTGTTTTTAGTAGATGGTACACTTGTTTTAGAATTAGTTTCTTGATGCTGTGTCATAGTTGAAGTGGATTTTTATCACATACTCTTCACGTAGTACGCTCAGTAGTTGAATGATGAAATCATGACGAGAAATTTTTATTCCTAGTAACTTTTTGATAAAGAATCCACGAGGTTATAGCTACTAAATCAAGTAACTATATTGTAAAATACATGACAGGCCATCCCCGACATCCAGCTCTTACGGTGTACTTGCGTGCCATTTGATCGCTGATGTCTACACTAAATTTTGTTGTACCTATTGTAAAATTCAATTGTTTCAGGCAACTTTTTTTGTCAGTACCTATATTTATGTTGATGTGCAGAGTACTCAAAATAATAACATGTGTTCCTGGTTTTCCTTGATATACAGTAAGGGTTGTATCGGTAACGGTTTTCATTATGAAGGTTTTATATCTTGTAGTATGAATACCTCTACAAATCAGTGGTATTTCTCGTCTTGCAGACCGCATTGTTCCAACAAAACTAGTCTACGACCAATAGTGTTTTAGCCGAATTTAGTGATGCGAAAAAGTTGTCAGAGGTTACGTTTTGGCCCTAGCTACGACGTCCCTCTTCACTGGCGTTTGGAGAAACAAAAGTCCTTTCTTTGCCGTCACTTGCTATACGACTGCTCAGCGAACGGAACCAATGCCTAATATAAAATGTAAACAAGTTAGGTACTAATAAATTAGTCAAAATTCAACCCAACGTAAATAAAAACAAAAGTACCCACTTTAGTTTGAAGAGATCGTTGTTCACTATTCTTATCGCAGTCTTTATATGTATGCCGTCACATTGACGGTGCGCGGTCTTAGTAGGTATTTGTGATCGAAACTCAAATAGAACATATACTTATTTTTTTATAAATATAGATTAAGCCTAAGAATAGCAAATTAGGAAAAGTCATAAAATATTAAAAGGAACTAAAACATAGTTTGAAAAATATTTAACAATGAAATTGCCTGGCGGTCAATTTGACTGCCTTGGTCTTTCTAGTGTTAATATTTACACACAGAAAAGTGTGTTATTTGGTACAACTAGATGTAGACCTTTTTTGTTGTTTATATTTATAAACATTTCTGCTCAAGTGTAGATTTTTGAGCACAGAACGGATAGGATAGAAAAGGATGACAAATGTTTTCTATATCCCAAATTCACTAACACAATACCTGTAGTGGCTGTAGTAGGTATTTTAAAATGTTTTAAATACCAAGTAGAATAAAATAGAAATAGTGTGAAACACTTAGAAAATGTAAAGTACCTACTACTTCGCCAATATACTAAAATTTTGGCGCCATCATAAAAATGGACACAAACACTAGACTGCGAACAGAAGGCTATTTATAAAGACTAGATCAATACTGACATAGAATTGAACATATCAATGTGTATATATATTTGTTTGTCTATAATTGCACTTGCGGCATTTGCCATGCTAACAATTATAGGATCCTAAGGGTTGAACTTACCTTGTTGAAGTCGGCCTTGGAGATTCCTGGCGGCGCCGGCTCATCGGAGTCCTGAGACTCCGACCCAGCCTTTAATATCCCTTCACAATCCATCTTCAGGCGAAATCACACTGCTATTCAATACGAAATGTTGAGCAAAACTTAATTTTGTTCATCGCTGATACGCTTGAACTGCAAACATTAACTAATGTACTGCACTGCTATTTCAATGAATAGTACGATACAATTCAACAATTGAACTATTTAACCTCGAAATTAATTTGACAAACATGCATCTAACAAAACAAGTGATTGTTTATGCATTTTAGATTATTTCTCATAAAAAAATGAATGAAATCGTGCTTTTATAAACTTGACAAAAAATTGACATATATATCGGATGGCTATGAAGATTAAAACGAGACAGTCATAAAATTATGGTAAACATTTGGAATAATGAAACTGGAACGCGGTTTTCATAGCCAATATTTGCCTTTTTTTCAGAAGAAGAACTTTATTCCCACTTTAACACCAAGTATTTATGCCTCATAGTTCTGATATTTTAATAAATTTTTTTATATCCTGATTTATATTTGATATCCTGATTGTGAAGTACTCCTATACTTATTATACTTTATTATAACCCCCTTAAAAAAAACGTGCGTTACCGGCCTTTTGGGGATTAGGTGTTTGGGGATCGTTGGGGATTCAGGAATAGGGGAGTTTGGGGAAGGGGAGGTAATTGGACCTCCGGTAACCTCACTCACACGACGAGACACAACGCAAGCGTTGCTTCACGTCGGTTTTCTGCTCGGCCATGGTATCACTCCGGTCGAGCCGGCCCATTCGTGCCGAAGCATGGCTCTCCCACACTTTATTGTTATTGTCAAAGTCAAAGCATTTATTTCAATAAAACCTTACTTTTGAAACGTCAACAAATACAAAATAAATATAAATAATAGTCGGTCAGTCAACCCGTCCAAAGATTATAATAAGTATAGGGGAGTCCGTCAGTGAAGCTAGGTGCTCTTTCAAAAATGTAAGTACCTAGATTCGAATGGAGAAGAACGAGCAGGAAACTCCATTCGTTCTCGCTAGGGTTGTGGGTGCACTGCATTTACATACACATCTCAACCCAGCCCCAAATAACGATTCATAAATCACACAAAATATTAGAATTATTCCGTGCGACAATCGAACCCGTAAAACGATGCGCAGCAGCCGGCTGCCCAGTACCCCTATACTTTATTGTTATTATTTATTTATTTATTTATGTACACACATAGTTGTATGTGTGTACATAAATTTTGTTGTCCTTTATGTTGATAAAGGACAACACATACATAAAATTAAAGTACAAAGGTATTATTTTACTCTTTGCTGCCCAGTCACTACGCTAACAGTGGAATCTTTTAATAGAACATGTGAAAAGAAATACGTAGTCACTATGTTTCAAAGATGAACAGACGGTTTTTATCAACTACTTTGTTAGACTAACAGAGCTGAGAGAGCTAAGTGAAAGAAATGTTATAATATGTCATTGTAATTTATTTTTTAAGTTAATATTTTTAATTATAAACACAATTTCATCAATTTAACATAGATTACACGATTATTTTTCTTTGTCCTTATTCTATTTAAAGTTTCTATATAAAACGAAATAAATAATCTTGATTTTTCTATTTTAAGTTCCAGGATACTTGACTCCTATCAGAAACTCCGACAGTTCATCATTCAGCTTGATACTGTGTTCAATTTGAGAATCTGTTTCTGCAACTGAAAAAAGTGAAAAGAAATTGTATTAAGTAAAAATTTGAAATTCTCGTAACTTAAAGAGTTTTAAATAGGTACCGACTGTCAAGCTTTTTGAATTGTTATAGAGAACAATATTTTTTTTAATGGCGGAGTAGTACACAGTCTGGAAATATGAAATCCTATACATCATCTTTGTATAGGAATAAAAATATTGATAGATATGCAAAAGAGAAAAAATTGAAAGTTCACTTTGTTGTTACTGCTGTAAAACAAATAGATATATTTTTTTAAATCTAAATACAAACCTAAAGGCGTAAGACTATTAGCAATTTCCTCCTTCACATCCAAATTCTGATTGGTTGCAATGTCATTGACATCGGCAAAGAAGACTTCTGGTACCGTAGCCACAGTAGCCATTTCTTCTGCCCCGACACAAATCTCAACCAATTCCTTAAACTCTTTATCTCTTCTCTTCTTCTGTGGCAATTTTCTTTTCAGCGCTTTCTGTTTGCCTTTGGCTATATCTTCTGTGTGTATATTCTTAATATTTAGTACTCTAGTAACTTCATCTCGGATTTTTGATTTTTCTTCTTCTGTCAACTCAATTCCGCTGTCATAGTTTTTCACATATTTCGTTATGGGTACATCATCATCGCTACTACTGCAATCTATGTCGGTCTTTATGCCAGATTTATTGTTTTCTTTTTTGATTAACTTTCGCCATTTTTTTATTAGATTATCTGCTACTGCCTGAAAAATGTAATAAAATAATATTAGAAAAGGGATGATGACAAGGCATGAAAATTAAAAATGTAATTAGTCCGTCAGTTAGGTAATGAAAAAATATTAGACACGTATTTTTTTATTTTGTTGTATAATAGAATGATACATACTTAAATATAACGAATCAAAGTTTAGGAGTGGGGGCTAAAACGTCATTTCTATTATAAAATGACATAGAAGTGACGTCATGCGACAGTCATCTACCCTATTACATAATGATGAAAGTGCTTTCTATGGTACGTCTTGAATACAGGGTCATAGACCATTTATGCTAAAAACAGCTAATGATTTTAGCAATGTTATTAGTTCCAAGCCTTTGGATACCTACTTAAGTCTTATTAAAATCTCTCAATAAATTATACACAGATCAAAATTAAAGAACAGACAGAAAATACATATAATACTTATTGTACAAGCACAGAAAATTGTTGGATCGAGTGATCAAACTAGCAACTATTATTGTTTTTTAGATATTTCTAACTTTTAAGAAATATCTATGAGCTCATAATTTATTTAGTAAAGAAGTGCTTTCTTACTTACAAAATTAACAGGCTTGGGTATTCTCAGCAAGTAATGCTGGTCATGTGCTTCCAGCATCTCACACTTGGAGCAGAGATCATAATCGGGACAGGTGATGCATTTGTATCGGAAACCAAGGATGGACTTGTTGCAGCTGTTGCATACTATGTTGTCATGTGCTGTCTGAGTTTCAGACTCATTTGATCCTGTAATTTTAAATTAACTAATGTAGTTACTTTCTTAACTCGTCGAGTACCATCATTATAGACACAATTATAGAACAATAGGTTGCGGTCACCGGTGACCGCTTGGTGTTTGACAGTTTAAAGATGTGTACACATAACTACAATTAATTAAATTAAACAGAAAATTATTAACATATTGTACTTGTTTATATAGAGCTTAATAATATTGGAGCCTAATATTATCAATGAGGGGGCTTGATTAGTTCAACAAACAAGATTACCTTCACTTTTATACATTACAATAGGCCCACGCTCACCCCCTAATACATGGGATGCATAACATAAGTAGTGAAAAGTGGGTGTTACATTATACAGTTGCATAATGTACACCTCTGCCTACCCTTCGGGGCTAAAGGCGTGATTTTATGTTATGTGCCATGTATTATATGGAAATAACATTGATGAATGGATGGAAATGTCTAGAACTTTAAAATATTTTCAGTGGTAAATTGATTTCATCATGCCTATGTATTATATTTTACTAGCGACCCGCCCCGGCTTCGCACGGGTGCAATATATATATACATACAAACCTTCCTTAAGAATCACTCTATCTATTAAAAAAAACCGCACCAAAATCCGTTGCGTAGTTTTAAAGATCTAAGCATACATACGGACATACAGCGAAAGCGACTTTGTTCTATACTATGTATTGATGACTTGTACTACCTATAGAGTATAGATAGATAGAGTAGAGTATAGATAGTTTTTTTTTTAAGGGGGGAATCTCATCGAATGACTGCTCCCGTCTGGGTGGAGGCGGGAAGGAGTGTCAGACTCTTACTGACTAAAAACCACCCTGTTCCTTCTCCTGCATGTGGAGCCGGAGCCCCGGTTACCCGTTAGGTTCTCCGCGACGGAGTATAGATAGAGTAGATATATGTGTCCAATAACAAATTCATACAAACCATCATTTGTATAATTAGATAGACATAAAGTAGGTACAGCATCAGCACACAGATGTTTGTTCTTGATATTTGAGGGAGAGAAATGGCGGGAACAGACTCTGTGTGTTAACTTTTTGTGATCTCTTTCAAGCAAGTCTGTGCGGCCTATAGCTTCAAGCCATTGTAGTAACCTGGAAAACATTAAATGTATAGCTAGGTTTTTATAAATATTATTTTTATATTTGTTGTTTTTATTCATGCCAATGGCACGCGCCAGACTTCAGTGTTCTGGTGTTTTCATAATTGTATCTACTGAAGATCCTGGCTTACAGGAGTTGCAGCAGTTTTGGGAGGTTGTGTCGGGCTTGTGTAATATAAAAAAAATTGTAATATTTATAGATATACAGCAAGCAGGTAGAGATTTAATTTTTTTTTAAGGGGGGAAAATCATCGAATGACTTCTCCCGCCTGGGTGAGGCGGAAGGGAATGTCACTCTTCTGACTAAAAACCACCCCGTTCCTTCTCCTGCACGTCGAGCCGGAGCCCCGGTTACCCAGCAGGTAGAGATAAGTATTGAATAAATAAAATGCAAGATTTTTTTCTATTGGGTACTTTTTTGTATACATATTTTGTCAATTGGAAAGCAAATACTGATGTTTGAGATAAATAACATAACAGTGTAAGCCATGTTTACATTATTTATACTCAGGTTTACGAGCTTTAGTTAAGTTTATACTGTATAAAGGTTTGAAGGTTGGTTTCATCTGAAATCAATTTCTGATGACGAATTTTCATTTACAAAGTTGTTTCATGACATGCAAAAGGAACAGTTCTGTATTATCGTTGTTAAAAACACAGGAATATGTAATTAAAATAATAAAAACGTACATACCGGTTCCTCTCCTTTGGTAAACCGTAGTAATACAGATGTTTACTGGTTTTGCTGTTCCTACCACATCCGTACACACAACAATAGTTAACCATATTTACCAATAATGAAATTTAATTAGCCTTTAACCGATATTTCTCACAAATTCAATTCAATGAATTGGGCTGAAAAATACAAAACTTTTTGTTTATTTTTGTAAACCACTAAGCAAATGTCAAACATAAATTTTAATCTGTGCTTTATACCATGTTTATTTATTCTACAAGACGTGAGATGGCGTTAATATTTCTAATGCAACGCCATCTAGTATTCAATAGAAGTAGTTTAGTGCACTATTTCGACTTCGTTAAACAGAAAATGCTCTTTATAAAACAGTTCTTCAGATTACTTCAGATATGAATAAAAAATATAAATTACAGTACCGACACCGCATTGCATTTTATTTTCAAACTGGGTCTGAATTTTAAAACTTGTTTGGAGCATCAGCGGCAGATGTTCATGACCTGCCTCAATGAAGGTCATGGCACGCGACGACCACTATACACTACTTCGCATTGTAGACGTTATCATCTGTATATTTTTATTTTTCGCAACTTTCAAGTCTCAACATTTTTGTTATCATTACAAATAGTACCATCTTATTCAATATTAATTATTATACCTACACCTTTACTGATCTTAAATAACTTGATGCTATTGAATATTTTAAGTAATTATAAGTTTGAAATAGCTAACCTGCAATGCTCAAAGCTCAGTGCGAGAAGAGGCTTTCGGTCAGCACTAGCTACTTAGAGGCTGTTGACTGAAGTAATGGTAAGCAAATTCGAGGAATTGACCGGTAACACCCCTATATTTTATAAAAAGGCATTCTAGGTAGGTGCTCTAGGTAGAACCTTTTTGATCTCAACGCGCATGACAGGGTTCCTACAAATCAATAATGTTCAAAGCTACAATCTGAATGGTAACATGGACCAATAAACTATAAGGTACTGAGGAATGAACTACAATGTTAAATTTGACTGGTGTGATGTTAGCAGACTGTGATGTTATTTTGATTATGATGGAGAGAGAGCGACAGGCTACTGTGAAGTATGAAACATATATCGCGTGTTCGTTGAAACAATTCTTTGTGTAACCCACAAATCGTTGCTCCAGGACTAAGTCTGATGAGTTAGTAGACAGTTCGCCAGTCACGTTAATAATAGGGTAGATGCCTCATTTTTTTAATGACCGTTTGGTAAATTATTTTAAATCATTAGATACGTATTTTTTATTTTCTGACAGAAACGAATACTTTCGACGATGTATTGATTTTAAATGTCGCGTGACGTCACTTCTATGTACATTTTATACGTAGAAATGACGTTTTATTCCCTATTCCTAAACTAATTATATTTTTGATTTTCATACCCTGTCATCATCCCAATTTGTATATCTTACCTAATTGAAATTAGTTAAACATAAAAATCTCCCTTATTGAATATTAAAACCGCGGCAATGATATATAATTTATCAGATGCAGAAAAGAAAAAAAAATGGCAATATAATAGGTATCCAAAACTGCCGCATCCACCACCAGACATTTCTTGTATCGGCTACAGTTCCTGCATTGATCGCTGCTGTCACTGAACTGCAGACTGCTAGTTGCCATGCCACATTATGTTATGTCTCGCCTTCTCGAGCCTTTCATACAACTTGTAGCCCCATACGAAAATTACCACGCCCTGTGAGCTGTGATGACTGCAGGCTACATTATTTTACATTCTACATTCTCCAATGTATTCTTTTGTTGTCAGGTATTACACATTTTAAAGAGACCGGGCAAAAAGATTTCTGCTATCTTTACTATTTTCTATTGGCGATCTCCGACTTGCTTGCTAAGTGTGGAGCATCGAACTCTTTTATATTGGCCTTCGGGGCCCGTAGTCCAGCAGACAGCAGTGGGTCCCGGGCTGTTGATGCTGAACCAACTTTGTCCTATTGTTATAAGAGCATACTTACTTAGTAATAAGGGCAAAATTATTCGCCAAAGACAAATTTATACTCCAAAGAGTCTTAGTTCTACATAGTCATCACACAAATATTATAAACGTGAAAGTTTCTGATGTTTGGATATTTATCCGTCAATCACACGGAAACTACTGAACGGATTTTGGTGAAATTTGGTATACAGGCAGGGAATGGGCTGACTTTTTGATGACTCTCATGGGATAAAACAGGAATTGTATTCTACGCGGTCAAAGTCGCAGGCAATAGCTATTTACATAATAATTATGTGAACCAGTCATGAACCAGCCGAGTTATTTTAAGGTCAATGTCATTACAATATTATACTCAATATACTCTTTGCATCACAATCACACTTCCTTTGCTTATCAGAACGTTCCTCCGGCCAGTAATAATTACAATTAAGTGTAAAAGTGTTCACATCCCTTTCAACTTTGGTCTCTTGGAATTACATGCACTTGTATGTGCAAGTTTTAACTATACGATATTATTATTAAGTAGGTTTTTTAAGGGGGGAAAATCATTGAATGACTTCTCCCGCCTGGGTGAGGCGGAAGGGAGTGTCAGACTCTTACTGACTAAAAACCACCCCGTTCCTTCTTCTGCACTTCGAGCCGGAGCCCCGGTAACCCGTTAGGTTCTCCACGACATATTAAGTAGGTTAGAAATAGGTTTTAATCTACAAAAGATCTAAACGATAAATGCTAAGAATAAATATAAAACCACGCCTTTTATCCCCGAAGGTGTAGGCAGAGTGCACATTACGGCACTTAATCCCACTGTACAATGTAAGTCAAAGTCAAAGTCAAAATCATTTTAGACCAAGAAGGCACTTTTGAACGGCAAAAAAATATTTAAATATTAAAGAAAAGAAAAAATTTCAATCTGTCGGTCAGTCGTCTAATGAAGCTATTTGCTCGATCTAAAGTATAGATTTCTATGGAGAAGAACGAGCAAGAAACTCCATAGGTTATTCTTTTTTAATAAGGTTCACAATGCAACACCTCCTTTCACTATTAATGTTATGAGTCCTATATAATAGTGGGTGAGCCCATTGCCATATACCGGGCACATTTCCAGACAATACTACTGAGATTAAAAAAAAACAATAAGTAATACTTTGAATTGAACCCGATAAACCCCTTGCTCGGCAGTCGCACTTTCGATCTCTGTCCAACGAGGCAGGCCAAGAATAACTATTTAAGAATAAATATTTGTAAGAATAAATATACCTGACGATATTATTATGAATCAGTGTAAAGAAACTGTTTTTCTTTCACTTTTCAGACAATCACGGACTGTTGATGGTGTACAGTTACTTAATTTAATATTTTAGAAAATGCTAAGAATACAACACTTCAAACCCCAACGCATGCAATTAGATCAGGAATATCTATAAATATTAATAACTTCTGTATTGTGGTCGTACTGATATCAACATCTGTGGTTTATCATGGCGCCTGTATTTTGTGAGCTGTGGTTCTCGTAACTTGATAATACTGTCTCAATATCTTAACCAAACTGCTACTGGAGAAGGAGAAAAATTAGAGATAAATATTTGTTAATTTTCTTATTTGTTTTTCTCTAAATATGTGGTAAAGCTGGCATGATAGTCAACGAGTATGCATAAGATATTTTGATGTTTTTGTAAACAGTCCGTTTTTTTTACAAAAACAAAAAATGTTGAATATCTCAGACCAGAGACCTCAGGGTTGATTTTGTAGGAAATCAGTTGTATTATCACCTCCCGAAAGAAATACGTCGAGTTACAAGTCAACCTGTATAAAAGTAAGGGCCTGGCATTTTATATCTTTGCTAGCATCAAGTGACACCATTGTACATTTTACGATCATGAAACTCAATTTACACGAAGTCTAGACAGTTGGATACTTGCCCAATATATGTATACATATAGTAGAACAGACAATAGGATCACCCCTTTTACATATAGTAAATTATCTAAATGGCCAATAATGTCTTTTTTTTGAAGAATGAAATTGCAATAAACAATCACATTGTCTGCGAGATGAAAGGGTAAATATCAACATCAACACAAACATTGACACAATCGCTTTGATTTCGTCATTGCTCTCAATGAACAGGCAATTGTTATCAAAACATGCATACATGTTACGAATACAAAAAATAAACGCATCATTCAATCCCTCACAACACATAACCTTGGGACGCAACAGTACACCATCCATATTATAATAGCAAGTCACTAACCTCTGTCTCCCAAGGTTTCAAGTCCACAATGTAATTGAACATGTCTGGATCCCACACATACACACCACCCCTTACACACGCACACGCACAGCTTCACAAGTAACTCGAGCTATCCTGACCACAGATGTCCTACCAATCGTTCAGTATATAAACTCGCCCGCCGGCAAAACATTCAAGTTATCCCCAGTCTCACTTGGTGAAAACAGGTTTTATAAACAACAATGTCTCTATTACCTTTTGTGCTTGGAACCACCCCTCATCGTCTGGCTGACCAGGAGTTTGGCTTAGGTCTCACTCCTGATGATCTGCTAACAGCTGTGGTAGCCCCAATGATGGCTAGAGAATACTACAGGCCCTGGAGACACATGTCTGCTGGAAGAGACATTGGATCCACCATCGTGTCCAATAAAGACAAGTTCCAAATCAACTTGGATGTACAGCATTTCGCTCCTGAAGAGATCAGTGTGAAGACAGCTGATGGTTACGTGGTTATTGAGGGTAAACATGAAGAGAAGAAAGATGAACATGGATTCATATCCCGCCAATTTACCCGTCGCTACAACTTGCCAGAAAATTGTGATCCTGCTACCGTTGAATCTAAACTTTCTTCTGATGGTGTGCTGACGGTCATTGCTCCTAAAGTGCCTCCAACTTCGAAGAACGAAAGGTCTGTTCCTATTTCTCAGACTGGACCTGTTAGGAAGGAGATCAAGGATGCTACGACTCAGCCAGCAGGTCAGGCCGACGCCAACGGAACAGCTAAGTGATTGTCCAAAGACAATACGCATCAACCCTATTGGTTCGACTGATTGCTCGATCTCCGCTTCGCAAACCTATTTCGATTGGTTATAAATGTGATATTTAAATATCTAAAAGTCGACTTTTTATTACAGTTGTATGTATATGTGTAGTGTGCACCTTTATAGAGTTTTTAATTAGTGATAGTGTTTTCATAAAATAAATCTTCCTATTGCTGTATTTTGACGTTTAATTTACCTCACACAAGCATCTTTTTCATGGTTAAAATATTTATTTATTTATTTATTTATACATTTGGAAAACCAACAGCTATACAATTTGATTAAAAAGAATGTGGTATGCAACAAGAAGCCAATTACTGGTTTCCACGATTAGTAACAGAAAGTAGAAACATGCTAACACAGTACTAAAATTACTCATTAAACTCATTAAACCACAGGCAGTCTATAATGATGCACAAATTACTCCAATGATTAAGTACCATATAGGTACCCACTATGAATTAAAGAAATCAAGGTTCAGCTGCCTGCGTGCCACAGTAAGTTTTGTGTTAAATGGGTCGAATGAAAACTCTTTGCACAGTTTATTGAAATCATTGCTCGCTCGCACAATATACGAATTACTCCGATAGTTGGTTGAGGAAGTAGGTATCGATATCGGTACACTGAACCTAAATGACTTACGGGGAACATTAAAATGAAGTCTTTGCAGTATTTTAGGGCAGTCAATGTCATTAGATAGTATTTTTAACATGAATGAAAAATCCGCCAATCTACGCCTGTTTACAAGGGGTTGCAAGTGAAATCTCTTGCAAAGATTTAGATAGTCAGCACTGTGATAGTCAATTTTCAAGCGATAACATAAAGATTTTACAAACCGCTTCTGGATGTTTTCAATTCGATCGATATAATTATGATAATATGGGTTCCATATCTGAGACGCATATTCGAGGCTACTTCTTACAAATGTGCAGTATAAAATCTTGAATGTCTTTGCCTGTTTAAAACACCCAGATATTCTCATGACAAAACCGAGCGCTTTCGAAGCCTTAGCTATTATTTGATCAATATGGATATCGAACCGAAGTCTTGCATCATGATAAACACCAAGATCTCGCACTCCGTCACACCTTTGCAGAACCTGACCCTTCAGCTCGTATGGATGAATCATCGGGAACCGCTTTCTACTAAAAGTAATCACTGAGCATTTTGCGGGATTCAGGTCAAGTTTATTCAACTGGCAATACTCATCCAGGCGCTTTAAGTCATCCTGGAGAGCCAGCATGTCCTCCACCGATGTTATTTTGGAGTAAATCTTCATGTCGTCGGCAAAAATAAGAAGATTAGAGCTATGGAAGCAGAGGTCAATGTCATTCACGTATAAGATGAAAAGTAGGGGGCCAATTAGAGATCCCTGCGGAACACCGCTTGGAATCTTGACCCAGCTAGATATGTAGTTATTGACTACGACAGATTGAGACCTGTTTTCTAGGTAGGATGCAAACCATCTGAGTAAGTCACCGCATATACCAATACGATATAGCTTAGTTTTAAGGATATTATGGTCAATTCTGTCGAAGGCTTTGCTATAGTCGGTATAAATGACATCAACCTGTGCCCCACCATCCATACTGTCAGTCAAGTAGTCATTTAGTAAGATCAAGTTCGATACTGTGGAGCGACCCTTCAGGAAACCATGTTGCGTGGGACTAAACGAGCTCCTAACCGCAGCGTAAACCTGATCATACACGATTCTCTCAAAAACCTTTGCCAATATGCAAAGTTTGGATATTGGCCTATAGTTAGCTACTTCATTCTTTGAACCCTTCTTATGCACTGGTGTTATATAGGCTGACTTCCAAATCTGAGGAACGACAGATTCAGTCAAAGATCTCTCAAACAGCATAGTAACGGGCACAGCGATAGTTTTTGCACAGCCTATCAAAAACTGGGGGGACAAATCATCAGGACCAGCCGATTTGCTTGAATCAAGATTGGTTAATAATTTTTTGACACGTTCGACATCTATCTCAATCGCGCCAATATTAGACAAAGTATCCAATATGGAATTAGGACATTCAGGAGTAACGTCGGAATCAACACCAGTCGGAGCAAGAAAGTTGGAATAAAAATGCAAGCTAAAGGCATTGCAAATTTCTTCGGGCGAGGAAATCGATACATCCTTGTGTTTAAAATAACTGGGGATTGAGGTAGATTTAGATCTGTGCTTTACAAATGACCAGAAAGACTTAGGGTTTCTCCCGATAGATGCTTCAGTAGAAGCGATATAATTCGCATAACATTCACTCTCAACCTTTTTCACCCTTTCGCGTAAAAGCCTGAATGTCGCTCCATCCGATATCCCACCATATAACCTAAATCTGCGTAGGTGCTTATGTTTCTCCTTTATGAGCCGCTTAAGTGACGGAGAATACCAGATCGGATAAGTGCTAGGGTATATAAGTTTGCTTGGGACATACTTCGAGCGCATCTCCGATAAAACTTTATAGAAGTGACTAATTGAATCCTCCAATGATAAATTTCCAAAAATAATATCCCAATCAATACTGGATAAATCGTTGTTGATTGCATCGTAGTCTCCCCTACTATAGAGAAACCGTGTATATGGCGCTGGTATTAAATAACTGGATCTAGCAAAATTTACATCAATTAACAGGGCCGGATGATATTTGTCAATAGGTGCTAGGGGTACTAGGCATTCGCTAACAGATATGGTATCAGTACATAAAACCAAGTCCAACATTTTTCCATAGAAATTTAAGACACTATTAAATTGACTAAGACCCAACACAGATAATTCATCCACCAGCGCATGCTCATCACCGCTAATTACATTTGTGGGAATCAGCGAATTATTATCTGATGACAGCCACGAAATTCCACTCAAATTAAAATCTCCCACAATTAAAAACTTGTCATCTGGGTTACCCATTATAGAATCATTCAATCTACCTAGGTAGTTTGATAATTGCTCAGTAAAAGAATATCCGCGTTTCTCGCAGCACAGATACAAAACACCCAGGTGTAATTTAACGAAATCGTTGCTATCATAATGGCGTAAACTCACCGAAACCCAAAGATCCTCCGCAGTGGATTGAAATAGCGGCTGGGGCACTGCTGATATGAGCTTGTTCACTGCTATCAGCACACCACCTCCCCGAGTTTGACCCGTACGATGATAATCTCGATCACGGCGCCACACAATATAACGGTCACAAAATAACTCCGAGTCAGATATTCCATTCACCAGCCAAGTTTCCGTCAATATAACAACGTCGTACAAATTAACACATAATTGACGATAGAAGTCATCGGTTTTAGTGCGTAGTCCGCGTATATTCTGGTAGTAAATAGATAGTTTTTTAGCAGTATCATTGGCCATTAGGAATAACGCAAGACATAATAACCGCATCAATAGCAAAGTACAATGTTACACCACCGTGAATGAATGAAACGAACACAACAAGCAATCGACAATCCAAACCAAATAAAATCAAGGGTAGAACATAATAAACCAAGAACAAATAATAAGCAACGCGAACGAGAAAGCAATAGATCAATTCACGCATTAACCACATAAGTGCGAGCAAGACAATTAAATTTCGTTTAATAATTTCATATTGAATAATGTGATATGCAAGTGCGACACAAAGAACCCAGGTATATAAAAAATGGTCAAGTAGCATACCGCGGCAAAAGGCAGGGAAGCTCAACCCTTTTCTAAATTTTGAAATTATTTTAACATAATACAAAGACATGAAATAATAATAAAAATAAAACAAAAAAATTGGAACAATAAAGGTTATAAACTTAATGGATATTGTTAAGTTAACACGACTGATTAAAATATCGATGGTGCAAACCTTCTTACAGACAACATAACATTCTATTTTAGTCTGTTTAAATCGCCATCACTAGCTATGATAAGAACAGCAGAACCATCGTGTTTCCGAACATGTATCTTAGCGTGCTTGACCCAAACGTGTCTATATTCCTTCTCCTTCGCCATTAATCGGGTTCTGTTTAATAGCTTCTTTGAGTTGGAATTAAGATGGTCATTAATATAAACACGATTAGTAACACCAACAAATCCCAGATCGGACCCAGACAGGCCCTTTAGTAAGCGAGCAGCCGCAATGAAATCCTCCTTGATGTAGCGGTTCAGGAAGCTAACAATAATCGGCTTATCCTTTCCACCAAAAACCGGAATTCTGGTTATAAAATTAATTTGGTTTTGAAGCACTGGAAAGTTAACTCTCTGACTGATCCTATCCAGGATAGTAAAGAGGTTTTCATCCTTCCTCTGCGGAATGCCTTTGATCTCGACATTATTTAGCCTTGATCTTTGATCACTCATTGCCGATTCTGACTTGATGGTGTCGACATCTGTCTGTAGCGAGAGCAAAGATTCCTCTAGGTTTTCTAGTTTAACAACTCTGGACTCAATCCCTGCAAGCTTTGCCGAGAATTCATCCAACCTACATCCATCGAATTCACGACTTGTTTTGAGATCCTTCAGCTCCTCTCTCATCAATTTCACATCCTCGGACAAAATGGGAAGTAAGTACGCTTATAGGCGAACTATATGTATAAGATTTTGTTTTTATTTTTTTTATAAAACTTTCCACGCTCGGATTTTCTCCTGTGTCACTGGTGTGTTTCGTTTATACAAACTTACAAGTTCACAATATACTCATGACACCCAGAGCAGAAACAACAAATTGGAATCGAACCCGCTACACGTTGCGCGGCAGCCAGTTACTCAGCCACTGCGCCAATCAACAACTCATATTAATCAGTGTTATTGAAAATTTGATAATTCATATCTGTAGGCCTTTACGAAATTGATTAAAACTAGGTGGGGTCATGGATAAAAAGTAGTCAAAGTAAAAAATATTTTTCTTTCAACATGTCCAAATATTATAGTCTTTAGGGGCACTATCTACTTGTAATATATTTTCAGATGAACGCTGCTCGCTACAAGGAATAACTTTACGCTTGTACATACGTAAGAAAGGTGCAGATAGACGTATGTACATACAGTAGCCAGCAGATGAATGTACTCCAATCTATCAAATTTATTCATTGGATTTTCCACTATAAAACAATAAAATAAAGTTGAAGATGTATAGAAAAGTTCGATTTTACTTTTGTAAAACGTTTGCTAAGTTAAATAATTAAAAGAAAATAACTTTACTTTTAATTTTCAGTACAAGTAAAAGTAAGTAACGTATACATATGTTTTAGGATAAATTGTTGTTAATATCCTAGTTGTTATCCTATCCTTTTAAAATTGTTTCAGTACAAACACCTTTTATAATTTAAAAATGGATAAAAAATAAAAAACCAAGACTTACATTATCACGAACATTTATTAAAATTAAAAACACACGTCTATCAGTCTTAAAAACAAAATGTCATGATGTTACTTGACTAGCACTTAAAATGTAGAGAAACTCCAAAGATTAGGCCTTGGAGCAGGACTGTTGGTCAGCCTGGCAAGACCCTTGCACGTCTTCCTTGCCTTCATTAGATTCCTTCGCCTCCCTTCGCACAGGTCCAGTCTGAGTGATAGGAACCACTCGTTCACCCTTCACAGGCTCCACTTTACGAGGAGCAGAAACCGTCAGGATACCATCACTAGATAGTTCAGAAATCACCTCCTCAGACTTCGTACCTTCAGGTAAAGCGTATCTCCTCACAAACTGACGAGACACGTAGCCATGTTCATCTTCCTTCTCCTCATGTTTAGCTTCAATAACCACGTAGCCATCAGCAGTCTTCACTGATATTTCTTCTGGAGAAAAGTGCTGCACGTCCAAGTTTACTTGGAACTTATCTTTGTCGGTCTTGATGGTGGAGCCGAGATCCTTAGTCAGCTGAGTCAGGTGCCTCCAGGGTCGAAAGTAGTCGTGCAGAGTCCATGGCGACATCATCGATGTTAGGAAGTCGTCTGGTGTCAGCGCCAGGCCGAATGCTTGGTCAAACAGCCTGTTGCCCCGTTTTGGTTGTGGTTGAGGGCATTTTTCTTCAGCTGAAGCGAAGTATCTTGCTCCGCCGAAAAGTAAGATCGCGATACTTAGGAAATATGTGAAAGACTTCATTTTTACGTGTATGCAGCGCGTAAAATGTCTGATCGCTTCTTCGATGCGTTTAGTGCGAATGCTTGATTCAAATTCACTGACAGCCGCTGAGTTACCTGCGTTTATATACGTGCCCTGACATCTAGCGGCGAGTAGAGCATTCTGGAATTCACTAATGTGTTCCTTGACGTGCCAGTACTGTAAACAACCACGTTTGTTGCTATGTTTACACTGCTTAGGACTTTATCTTCACAACATTGACTTACTGCATTTTGATTGGTCCAAATAGCTCACCTGCTTGCATTTTATTGGGTGCCGCGTTAAGATTGTGTTATCAAAACATTGCACAATTATTACAGATAAAAATTTGTGATTACATTATCGGTTCAAATGGAACAATTACTGTTAAGTAAATTTTTATCACAACTATTATCATATTTACATAATTCTTGTAGAAAATGGACAGCTTTTAGAACTTTCTACAAACTATTTCTAAACTGGAGTGACATCTAGCGGGGAGTAGGTGTAGTTTTGAATGCAGGGAGACGTCCCGCCCGTTCCATATGTCGTAGGAAGCCATTGAACTGTTGTACGATTCCTGGCCTGCACACATGCATCCAGTACTTTCTAGTAATTTCCATAGTACCTATAAATTGTACTGATAGTTGTATGGACATAATACATACACAGGGAGAGCCTTTGTTGTATCCGTGGAGTTGGAATTTCGTGTTCCCTTTCCTAATATGTACCGTATTATTATATAGTATTTGGTCCGTATCTACTTTTTTTTTTTTACGGGGGGAAAATCATCGAATGACTGCTCCCGCCTGGGTGAGGCGGAAGGGAGTGTCAGACTCTTACTGACTAAAAACCACCCCGTTCCTTCTCCTGCACGTCGAGTCGGAGCCCCGGTTACCCGTTAGGTTCTCCGCGACGTCTCCGTATCTACTAACTAGTATATTCTTATAGAGTAGGTACTTAATATATTAGATGGACTGACGTGTGACCACTAAAAATAAAAAATAAAATCAACTACTACCTACTATTTTTTATTTTTGTTCACTTTTCCTTGGTTAAATTTATTGAAGTATAGTCGACAACACCATTTTTGAGACTCGGTTGCCAAAGAAAAAGAAAATATAGAAATTGCGTAAACAAAATCAAATTCAAGGTAACATTTTTTATACCGTATACCTAGCTAATGTAAGCTTGATTGGTAAGGACTTAGGTAGGTCTGGTCTAGGCACTTGAAGAAAACAAATAATTAGGTAAATAACTGATACACATACAGGTGATCATGATTATTATAAAATCATTGTTTTTTATACTTTGTCCCACACTAGGATTTTCTACAGCATCGTGGAAACGTACAAGTTCACATACATACACAATGACACCCAGACCCAAAATAACAATTTGTGGATCACACAAAGTGTTGTTCCGTGCGGGAATCGAACCCGAGCAGGGCAATTAATATAATTGTGGAGATTCTTGCTCGTTCTTCTCCATTCGAATCTACATTTTGGAACGACCACCGACCACCAGCTTCACGGACAGACAGACCGGCAGACTATTGTTTATTTTGTTTTTGTTGACGTTTCAAAAGTGGCAAACTATAGTTTGATTGTAATAAATCCTTTGGCTTTGACTTTATAGTCGAGGGTTCACAAATGCTTAGCAGTTGTAAGCCAGGAAATAGGTAGGTATGGGTAAGTATAAGATTCTTGTGTTTTTTTTTTGGGATAGGAGGCAAACAAGCAGACGGATCACCTGATGGCACTTAAGCAATCAGCGCAGCCCATGGACACCCGCAACACCAGATGAGTCACAGGTGTGTTGCCGGCCTTTTAGAAAGGAATTCGCTCTTTTCTTGTAGGTTTGAAGGTTTCAAAATTTCTCATGATTTGCTATAGAATCTAGAGGTAGGATTTTACCTATTATTGGGTTAGTATTGGTATATGGTGTCGTGGTGCCCAAGAGGTTCTATACACCCACTTCTCATGCATGAGGATGCGGAACATAGGTACCAACGGCAAGTACCAGTGTGACTTTTTCCGAGTTATAAGTATGTAATGCATCTTCTAAGATTATTCAGACACTACTGACAAACGGTGAAGGAAAACATCGTGAACGTGTAACCTGGCCTTATAATTTCTAATTATGAAATCTATTAAGACTGCACGGTTGGTGCGGTGGCTGGGCAACCGGCTGCCGTGTTACGTGTCGCGGGTTCGATTCCCGCACGGAACAACACTTTGTGTGATCCACAAATTGTTGTTTCGGGTCTGGGTGTCATTGTGTATGTGAACTTGTGTGTTTGTAAACGCACCCACGACACAGGAGAAAATCCTAGTGTGGGGCAACGTTTTTTTAAAAAAAAAAAAATTATAAGTTTGAAATCGCCATCCCACATTGAGTACGCGTGGTGATTAATACTCAAACCTTCTCCGTGTGAGAAGAGGCTTTTCTTCAGCAGTGGGCATTATAGGCTGTTGATGATGTAATGTATAATTATGGTGCTTATAATTTATAATTCACCTGCACGGTTAGCGCGGTGGCTGGCAAAATGGCTGTCGCGGAACGTGTCGCGGGTTCGATTCCCGCAAGGAACAAATCTTTATGTGATCCATAGATTGTTGTTCCGGGTCTGAGTGTCATTGTGTATGTGAACTTGTATGTTTGTAAACGCACCTACGACACAGGAGAAAATCCTAGTGTGGGGCAACGTACTTATAAGTAAAAAAAAAATTGTATAATGGATATTTCATTGTAATTTGCATACAAAAAAAAACCTGGACATCTACTTCATCCCTTTACAGATTAATTAAAATCCATAAGGCGAAACATTAAGTACTTACTTAAACTTTGAAACTACACCGTGTAGGTTTTTTTTTTTTTTTTAAATAAATACTTTATAGGTCGACGTTTGACCACCATCTCGCCTGATGGTAAGCGATGATGTGGTCGACGATGGAGCACGCCTACCTATGAGCAACCTGTTCACTCGGGACTTGAAGACACTCAATATATAAGGGTGGCGTCCCGCCGTTCGTCTGGTGGTACGGTGGTGAAATGGACTAGGGGGAATAAGTTTGTGCAATTCCCATTTAGTTTTCGTCCCGTAGTAAAATGGTTCTATCTTGGTACTTACCTAGTTTTACAAAAAAATAAAATGTTTCACACAAAAATAACTGGTGGACCATTGCAAAAAGCAAACTTCGAAAGCGCATGTCAACTCATAGTACATTTATCAAAACATCCCGGCATTTAATTCTCGTGAAGCGTATTTCTCGTCGGGTGGTACTGGTACGCGCGATGCGAAAACTGCCTACTTAGGTACTTCTATTGTTTCATGTGCTTCACAAACAAAGTCGTTATCCGCCGTCTGTCTGTCCCTATGTACCTACGCTAAGATCTTTAAAACTACGCAACGGATTTTGATGCGATTTTTTTAATAGGTAGATAGTGTTTCTTAACTCGTTGAGTACCGTCATTATGTCATTATAGACACAATTATAGAACAATAGCTACAATAGGTTGCGGTCACCGGTGACCGCAACCTATTGTTCTATAATTGTGTCTATAATGACGGTACTCGACGAGTTAAGAAAGGTTTATATTATATAATACATGCATATTGCACCCGTGCGAATCCGGGGCGGGTCGCTAGTATTTATCGAAAGTACTTACTAGATGGCAAGTTGTTTTGCCGCGAGACGAAAATGACATAGATTTCCCGGTGTATAATCAAATTGTAAACTGTTTTGTATTTACAAAACAATATGTCGCACGATGATGATAATTATCAGGCAGTATAATATATTTTCCGCGTGATTTATAATCATATAGGTACACCTAATTATGAAGCCGTACAAACAAACATTCTTCGTATATTGAAAAGTATTAGCAATTGCATATAAAATATTTTTTTTTTGTAAATTATTAGTGTTATTATGGAATGTTTTTCAATGTAAAGGAAATCGATATTATTTTTGTGATACTGCCAAGTAATACTGGACATACAAACGGAGCGGTTATTTTCAGATATTCGTTTAAGATATTTAGTAAATTTTTTTTATTCAGAGTAACGTACTACGTACTACACTACCAAAATAATTCTAAACGTTACTCAGGTAAGTACCTAAGTAATAGTCTATTCTCTCAAGTCTAAGTGAATAACATAAAAACATCAACATAAATAGCGCCAGCCTTTTGCGTTGCGACGCACCATAGGCTGTTTCTAAATTCTTGTTATATGTCATAGCAAAATAAATAGATTTTCTTTTCTTTTCTATAAATGTCTAGAAAATTATAAATCGCATTTTATTAATGTTAAGCTGTAAATAAATAACAACGCAAATAATATCTGTTCGTACAATTAGCTATGAATATTTTGAAAGGCGCTCATTTATATCATGTTCTTGATTTTAAGCCATAGAAAGCATTTATTTTTTTTTTTCTTATTTATTTTACAGAGTTTTTTCACAGGAGAAAATGTCACCCCGATTATTGCGTACACGAATAACTTATACCTAATACATTTAATAAGCATTTATTAAGTTTTTTTTTTAATTTCTAAAAATGACGGTATATTGAAAAGATAAAAGTTTAGATACAAAGTGTAGGTAATATTATGTACATTTATAGGTATTATTTGTGTTTTTTTGTGTCATAGTACCGGCATTTCGCATTGATCCTTAAAATAGTGAGAGAATTTATACTTTCTATATTTATTTAGCCAGCTTTAGTTCGCGTGTCCGTGGGATATGGAGCCTTTGTGTTATTCCAGACTATAATCTAAGGTAGATTGAGATAGATGTTCAAAACACCTCGATCCCTTCAGTTGTTTTGACGTGATTGAGTAAAAATACACAAACATTCGCATTTATAATACCAGTAAAATAAATCAGCGTGGACACTATGTACTCAAGTGTTTTTATAAAATCGATGGAGGGTGAACACTGTCCATAAATGCTATGAAATAATTTTGTGTACCTACCTACTTAGAGCGAGAACTGTATTGTAGCTTTTATTTGAGGAGGGAAAATTATCCAATGACTTCTCTCGCCCAGGTGAGGCGGGAGAGAGTGTCAACTGTCAGGCTCTTATTGACTAAAAAACCACCCTCCTGCACTTCGAGCCGGAGCCCCGGCAACCCGTTAAAGTTATAGCTACCTAGGTATCTGATAGAACTTATAATTTTCTGCTCCTATGTATATAATCTGTGTTCTGTATTTATAAGGTACTCGAAATAAAAATACAGTTTTAAGAGATAAAATTAAAAAGAGATTATTTATTAGAAAATAAACTTAAACCTAATTAAATACAACATAATTCAGTCTCAAAACATACGCTTTGGAATTGGAATTCGCAGTAATTAAAAAAATCTACGCGACTAGAGTAGAGGCACTACTTTACTTCTCAGCCACTCCGTTGCTGCTGCTGGCCTGGTCCTTGATCTCCTTGCGGACGGGACCAGTCTGTGAAATAGGCACCTTCCTCTCTCCCTTGATGGCTTCAGGAACCTTCCTGGGCGCTGTGATGGTCAGCACGCCATCCGAAGACAGCCGAGACTCCACCGTCTCAGGCTCCGTACCCTCAGGCAAAGCGTACCTCCTCACGAACTGCCGACTGATGTAGCCATGGTCATCCTTCTTCTCCTCGTGTTTGCCCTCCACCACAATAAAGCCGTCAGCAGTCTTCACAGAGATCTCTTCAGGTGCGAAGTGCTGTACATCCAGGTTGACTTGGAATTTATCCTTGTCGCTCTTGATGCTGGATCCCATGTCGCGGTTCAGAGCTGCCAGTTGTCGCCATGGTCGGTAGTAGTCCTCGGAGAGCATGGGAGCTGCGACAGCCGTGAGGAGATCGTCAGGAGTCAGGGCCAGCCCGAAGTCCTGGTCGAGGAGCCGGCTTGGCCAGTAGTGGTGTGAGTGCATGTGGCGAGGGCGCTCGTAGCCAAGAACAAAAGGTAGCAGAGACATTTTGTTGAGTATTCTTCAATGAACGGTGAGAATTTAGTAGTTAGGTTTGTAGCGTAAAGCTAGTTTTCACTTCGATCGCTCGAGTATGAAATGCATGCCGGCTGGTGGGAGCGCGCGGTTTATATACTCGCTACAGGGCGCCACCTAGTAGCGAGTAGAATTACTAGAAGCATCTCGAAAACGCCAGACGCTTCGGCGCGTTATGACGAACTCATACTCGCGCAACATGACTCACACACTGAAATGTTGTGCTAACAGCGCTATCTGGCGGCGAGTAGCGCATTCGAGAAATTTCGCTCGGGTGGGTGTGCGATCGATACTCGTCTGTGTACAGACGCGAAATATGTGACTCACACATTGATAAGTTTGCATGTATTCGATCGCTGAGTAGCTGAAGTCGGGAATTTTCGTGAAGTTCGATGACACTGACGTAATACCTAACGTAGCCGTGGTGTGATGTTAGTAAACATGATAATGTAACAACAATGTTTGTCGAATTTTGTAAACAGATTATTCAAAATAATGCGGCAATGACAAATGACAAAGATGTAGGTACTGAGACAGTCCCAGTTAGGTTTACTATGATACAATTGGATAGGTCAGTAATGCAATCAATCAAGCGAGAAATAGGTAGGTAGGTAGGTTAGACTAGAAGTGTATAGAAATGATTAGACTAATGACAGAATGTATCAAAACGTACTGTTTCAGGTGAATAAAATAGTGACTAAAAAATAATGGTATATTTTTTATTTTTAATTTGACTAATAGTAGTTAACGACTATTTTAGGAGTTTTGAGATTCCAAATTTCAAAATTAGTCCCTGTTATTCCATTGTTGAAATATACAAATTAAATACTTTTTTCGAAATGTCAAAAGGTTGTCAGTGTATTGTACATACATGAATCTTTATGAATAAAAATGTATATTCGTTCGTTCGTGTCGCTGATACTCAAGAATGGCTGAACCGATTTGGCTTTGGTTTTAATGTGTTTGTGGAAAGTATAAAGGTGAAAAAAAAAATTAAGCGTGATGAAGTTTGCCGAGTTAGCTAGTAAATAAATAAAACAATGAACTTGACTGATTGGGGTTGAAACTGGTTAGGGCTTGGGCCCAAGTACACATCTTCACAAAGATATTGTAAAGAGGATGGTTGAAACCACAGGTGATCGAAGGGCTGCTATTACCTCGGGTAAGGTTAAGCCATTCAACGTGGCAATGCTGCCAGTCTTTTGGCCACCCTACTTCACGATAGTGACGAGGAAAAAAATTTTTTGGTGCTTAAAGCCTAAGGCCTTCCATTTTTATTATTTTTTTTGGTGTTAATATTTTAGTTTTTTTTTGTATTTTAAGTTGTATATATTTATTCATAATTAAGTTATTTGACTGATTTGAAACTACCCTTATTATTATTTTTTAATAACAGTTGGTCTCTCTATTCATCTTCCATAAATTCCTTACTAACTTAACAGGTTCAAATCAACATCATCCTTGTCTACCACAACACAAGATCGAATATGGCTTGCCTCGTTTTATGGGGGTTCGTTTTACATGACCTTGTGACAGAATATTGATCCACGAATTTACTCGACTCCGTATAAGAGGGTAGAACTTTCTGGAATTTGCCCGATATAAGGTCTAAGGACATACCTACTTATCCACAATGTACACGATTAACGACGATTGACGATTCTTGTTTATATCTTGAGGTTCATAAGTGCCTTTTTTTGGTCTATATGGAATAAATAGACTTGAACTTGACTTTGATTTGGCTCATAAAAGATAGATTATATTGAAATGGTTTGGTGCATAGATATGGTTTTTTTAAGGGGGAAAAATCATCGAATGACTGCTCCCGCCTGCGTCAGGCGGGAGGGAGTGTCAGACTCAGGCCCGTATTACTGACTAAAAACCATCCCGTTCCTTCCCCTGCACGTCGAGCCGGAGCCCCGGTAACCAGTTAGGTTCTCCGCGACGCATAGATATTATGATAAAGTTAATATTTCTGTGGTTGGATGTCAAAACTTGTGAAAGTGTTGACATCCAACCACACAAAACTATTCTTGATACATTAGTGGTTTGCCAATAGCCATCCCTTTCTAACTCAAAGACATAATAGTTTTTTTTTTATATATATATACATTTGATGGGCTGACGTTTGACCACTCTCTCGCCTGGTGGTAAGGGATGATGATCTACGATGGAGCATGTCGCCCCATAATAAGCAACTTATTCACTCGGGCCTTGAATAGGTACACCATATAATCTTGGTGGAATTCCCCCTTCTTATACCCTTCAGGAAATACAGACTCTGGCAAAGAATTCCACTTCTTAGCAGTACACACCTTGAAGCGAAGTATAATGATAGTAGATACTATTCCTATCTAGGTATCCTACTATCTAATATTAGAACTGCGAAAGTTTGTATGTTCGTTGCTCCTTCACGTCAAAATGGCTGAAGGGATCGGGATGTAATTTGGAACACGGATAGCTTATGATCTGGAATCAGAAATTGGCTACTTCTTCCCACGGGAAGATGCTAGCAGAAGCTAGTAATAGGTACATTAGAAACGAAATCTGGAATAAACGATATGCTACCTACTAGTACCTACATTCCAATGGGTAAGCAGTGTTGTCTTGTGTCATATAGCTAACATGATATGTCCTTACGTAGGTACAGAGGAGACCATACAAATGCTAAGTACACTCAGGTATGCTATTTACAGGTATCTTCAAATAAACTAGTTAAGTGCAGTTACCTTAAGGTATGCAAGCAGATAAGATGGAAGTACCTTTGCATCTTTCTGAAATTTACACTTTATTTCACATCATACAAGTGTAGATAAAACGATTTAAATAGGTAGGTATATAAAAAGACAAGTATTACAAAACTTTATTATAGTTTTACAATGATAAAGACAGAAATTATTCGTAAAATGGTCGCCCCAAGTCAGCCCTAACCTCTCCATTGATCGCCATTCATACTAAACTTTAAAATGTCGTTTGTCATTTATTTTGTTCCATGGAGATTCGTATTCAGACTCAGATTGACCTTGAATGCCCAGAGATTTAAATAGAGGATCCGTTACACTTCAAGGTCACGTCTAGCCTATCCCGTAATCCACAAATACGTCTTTGAAGGGGATGTTTATACAAAGGAAGACTGAAAAAGTTCGTTATTTTTTGAGACTTCAAGGGTGCTTACTCTTAAAACCAATCTCAATGTCAATACAATTTCAATCCAATAAAAACTCAATTATAAGATATTACCGATTTTGATACAGTTTTGGTTGAACTTGTAGGGAACTTAAGGTCTAAGACACAAGGTCCATCACAGGCAATTACATTTAAGTTTTTAATCAATTACATTTTCATTTACATTTAAACAGCCAGTTAAATTACATTTTAAATTCTGTTGTGCTGGCGTTAATAGTAAAAATAAAGTTACTTTTGCATGTAAAACAGTGTAACTATAAAATTTCTTTTATAAACTGCGTTTAAAAACCGACTTCTATTCCATCTTCTTTTACCCGTATTTAAAACCGCAGTAAATCGCGCACAAACATACATACATACGTACATAAAGGTTAAACTGACAACCTTCGTTTTAAAGTCGGTTAAAAATTATTATGATAAGTTATGTATATTATTTATCTGATTAAAAGTGTTAAATGTGTGAAGTTACCGGTTACCTACATAAGTACTCGAATTTTCCTGAAACATGCATTATGTATGAACTTGTTTACAATTAAAGACAATAAATAGTTATCGTGGGTTTTTACCTATTTGAAACAATAAGTTCATTAATTTTAGTATTCGAGGTTCAGATGACAGCATCAGCAACAGACAGACTATTACATTTTTGACGTTCCAAAGATGCATAATTGGGTACTTGCCAAATAGTCAAATTCAATACTTTGAAATTCGAACTGTCAAAAATTATTTCTTAAAAATTTGCTGGAAACATACTAAAATTCATTGGGTCATAAAATCAATTACCGAATGTGTGATTAGTTTTTAATATTTTATTGTATTGATCAGCCGAAATAATTAAGTTTTGATTACGGAATGTACCCAATTACGGATTCATTGAAATAAATGCCTTGACTTTGACTTCTACACAGTAAATTGTCCTGACTTATTATATTTTTGAGGATCAAGGGTTGGACAAAGCTTTTTTGACATATACCTACTTAATTTTAGTAGGTAGTTAGGTACCTACCTACACTACCTACCTAGGTAGGTAGTGTAAAAAGGGACAAGCACATTGCTATACACCGGGCATGATTCCAAAATTCATGTATCATATAATCATTATTAATGAATGTCAGCTGAATTGAAATGAAGAACATGATACTATTTCTCATGTAATTAAAAATAAAATGATATAAAATAAAACTATTAAAAGATTCTAGAAACACATTAATAATCTAGTCAAGTTGAACAAACACACATAAGTAGTGTTGATTCATCATAGTCGTATAAAAATGTAAACTGTAACAGATATCTTTCTAGATAATTCTTGTACAATAATCTATAGTTGTATGTCAGTATATTCTACCAAGCGTCGAGATGAAATCAATCCATCATCATGTGCAGACTGCAGAGAAGGTCCGGCAGCAGTGGACTGTAGATGACTTCAGCAAAATATGTGTTGCTAAGCGGGAAAACTGGAGTATGATTGCATAGATTATAAGTATTACATTAAATTGTGTTGCCAAGTAAAACTCGTAAACGCTAATGCACTTTTGGTGTGTTACCAAAGGATGCCTTTTATAAAAAAAGAAAAATAAAAACACTGGAAATGTTTGGATAAGGCAATGGAGACGTCCCGCCAGAAAAAATAAACCAAAGTTTATAGACTTTCTAATACCTAATAAGTGCACGATTGCACAATATTATTTTTAATTGGTTGGGAAAAGTAAAGGGCTGGTTTTGATTGGTTGAACATTTTTTTTTATTTGCATTGGAACGCTGTGTTCAATAATTTCTATTTAAAAAAACAGCGAATTAGGCTAATGATTAATTAAATTAAAACAATTGTACTTGGTAAACATTTTGTTTCCAGAAAACATTGATAATATTAATAACAGAGTGATTCAGCAAAAAATCGTATTGTTTACTTACAATGTAGGTTACCTAGTAGTTAGGCAAAGGTGATGGGTATTATCCACCAGATAAACCATAAACCTAAGTGGTTATCTGAGTTATTACGTCAGTATTTGTAAAAATAAATAATTATTAAATTTTAATTTTGTATAACCCACATTAAAATTAATAACTATTTTCTTTACCAAACAACGCAATAACAAAACGCAAGTGATCATTGTCATTAAAAAATTGTCGAATGCAAATCGTGGACATTAGGTACATTTCTAGAAAAAAACAGAGAATTCAATTTTCGAACATTTGTCAATTTAAAATTGTAATTATGGCGCCAATTGCTCATACGTACGACCATAATAATTTTTTTTTTTAATATTAAATGATTATTGTTCTATTTTTAAATATCAGTTTGTCCTTGGACGTGACCTAATACAAGGTTTTATTAATTCAGTCGCATGGAACGTTGTAGAAAACCATGGAATGTTTTGCTCGGGCGGGAGTTGCTAGTCGATATTCTCGGCGGTTCCTCGACCGTTAACCCCGATAAGGACGAACAGCTGAACAGGGGTTCTCAAATCGCGGTCTCACGGGCCGCTTTGTATGGAAACAGTATTTTTTTGTTTGAATGTCGAAAATATGCAAATTACGATCTCGAATTTTTTTTTATATTCAAATAAGCTAAGATAAAATTATTATATTTTGATGGTGTATTTATTGGTGCGCTTTGCTGATGTCACAATTTGTACGAAGACTAAAAATTGCATAATCAAATTCTCTCTTCTTTTTTCTAAATTTGGAAGGATTTATTATCTAAATTTATAAATAAATGTAAAATAAAGCGCATTTTAAATCAGTGTAACAAAAATTACAATTGAAAAAAATCAACAATGCGAATTAACAACATTTGCAACCCGTAGAGTTGAGCAGCTCTGTACTGCACAAACACAAACAACAGGTATAACAGCTGACTAATGTTTGGTTCGAGAATTTTCTACTAGATACGAGATGGCGCTGTTGCCAATATAAAAGGCCGGCGAAGCGCGGCACGGGCATCAGTTTCAAAACAAGCGAACAAGTGATAAACAAAATTCTAGCGCTCTCAAAGCGACTCCGGGATATTTCCCAGCGATTTTTCTGAAGGAAGAAAGTTGTTATCGTTTATAGAAAGCAAGTAAAATGTCTCTGCTACCATACTTCTTCGACGAAATCGGCTTCCAGCGCCCTCGCCGCCTGGTGGACCAGCATTTCGGCCTCGCCTTAACACCTGATGACATCCTCTCCGTTGCCGCTGGACCTTTGATGACCAGGGAATACTACAGACCCTGGAGACACCTGGCAGCAGCTGTTAAAGATCTGGGATCCAGCATTAAGACGGACGGAGATAAATTCCAGATCAACTTGGACGTCCAGCACTTCGCGCCGGAAGAAATCTCAGTGAAGACGGCTGATGGGTACATTGTGGTGGAAGCTAAGCATGAGGAGAAGAAGGATGACCATGGCTTCATCAGCCGACAGTTCGTGAGGAGGTACGCTTTGCCTGAGGGTACTACGCCTGAGACCGTGGAGTCTCGCCTGTCTTCGGACGGCGTGTTGACTATCACAGCGCCCAGGAAGGTTCCAGATGCTATCAAGGGGGAGAGGAAGGTGCCTATCGCTCAGACTGGCCCCGTCCGCAAGGAGATAAAGGACCAGAGCAACAACACAGAAGAGAAACAGGACAAGTAGAGTGTTTGTGTTACCTCTGATTCTGTGTTTACCTATATGTTCATTTTGTGTCCCAAAGTTATGGCAGTGCGAAATAATCAATGAGACTGATTTAAATCTAATGAATGTAATTTTTTATTTGTAAGTGTTATTTAGTTAATAAATGTAAGCTTGTAATCTTAATCATTGTTTTATTTATTTAGTAGCCTTGCAATTAGCGAATTTCTCTCGATTTTGGAAAGCCATTTGAATATATGAAAGGTCTCACTACAGAATTATTTAACACACAATATCCTATCCTACACAGTTTAGTAACCCAAATATAACTACACATAACCTTATGAGATAATGAATGAAGAAGGCCCTGGGCTTATAATTAAGTTTGAAATCGCCAAACCGCATTGAGCGAGCGTGGTGGTTAATAATAATAAATACTCTTTGGTCAGTAGTGGCCCACTTATAGGCTGTTGATGCGTGTGATTTGTAGTTTACATTCTGAAACATCATCGCATACCTAAATAAACACGTTCTGTAAACCCCATTTATAAATAGAGGTGTGAATTTATCATCATATATATTTGATGATAAAATAAATTTGATGCCTGTATATTTTTAGCATGGATGTGATCAATGTCGAATGAATGGTCTTCCCTTACAAAATTATTGCGAGCGACTTTAAAAATTGTATATTCATGAAGATAAGTTACTTTAGCTATGTTATATAGCTCATGCGGCATAGATGCGACACAAAACACACACACGAAACACAAAACACCACTCGACATAATATGTTCGCTTCTCCACGAAGCATCTTCCAGAGTTGTTGACTCGGCGGCTCGAGAGTGCCACATCTCTGCTGCTGAGCATTAATCTGTGGGCGGGAGGGTGGTGCTGCATACAGCGGAATAAAAGCTAAATATTTTTAATTTAATTGTTAGTGTACAGTGGCGTAACTACAGCGTGGTAACGCGTAAAATTCCACGGGCTGAAATGGGGGCCCCGTTCAGAGGTTTTCATTTTAACTTCTGTTTTTTACTGGGAACGGAGGCCCGTCCTATGAACTTACCATGGGCCCCGAACAGTATAGTTACGCCACTGCATGCAGCATGCAGCATGGATTTCTGTAAAATAACGCCTGACTCTATTCTACATACAATGAATGTACAAAATATTTCGCATTACGTGTATAATTTCGACTTAGTCTTTGTGGACATCGTTTTTCAATCTAATTGCCATAAGTAGGCGTTCCCCTAATCAACGATAACACCCATCTAGCTCCTAGGCTATTACATTAGTAGATATATTCGCATAGCAATTAAAATATTAGGTAAAATACAAGAACAAAAAAGAGATAACATCTCAATAACCTTTTTATTTTTCTGCGCAATATTTGGCGAATCAAGAAATAATTGCTATAACTTTTTTGTAAGGATGTATCTGTATGTATTTGTGTAGTGCCCTCTATCTAGCATTGCAAGGAAGTGATTAAAGTATGGCTTAGAAATGGAATTTCTTTATTCCCTCACAGTCCATTTCTTTCAAGCTCTCATCTGTCTTCTGAAATCTTATAATCTCTGTGAGGTCTTAAAAAAATTTCAGTAATTAGATAATGATTTTCTTACTTACTAGTTTATTTCTTTTTTACTTAGTTTTCTTCCTAGTTAAATCAATTGAGTCATTATAAGAGATATCTCTGTCTTTAAGAAGCATAAAATTTAGTATAATAATAACGACAATGCTTTGTATTATATTAGTTTTTATTTTTTACTTATATATACTAAATAGTTTAATTGGTTGCACAACAATTTAGTATACAGGTTAGAAAATATATGTATGTACAAGATTTTTCATTTGTCGCTTGATTCGTGCAATACACCAATGTTGTGTCTGTAATAGTCGTGGTGGCCCGGAGGTTTAAGACGCCCACCTCTCATACATGAGGCTGCGGGTTCGAAACCTACCAACGGCAAGTACCAATGTGACTTTTTCCGAGTTATATCTACTGTCTAAGATTATCCAGACACCACTGACAAACGGTTAAGGAAAACATCGAGAGGAAACCTGGGCTTATAATTTCTAATTATAAGTTTGTAATTGCCAACCCGCATTGAGCAAGCGTTGTGAATAATGTTTTCTCCGTGCGAGAAGAGGCTTTGCTCAGCAGTGGGCATATAGGCTGTTGGTGATGATGAATGTCTGTGTATTGTGTGCAAAATCTTATTTAGCTAGATTCGCTAGGCTTCGATTGGATACACATAAAACACAGATATTGTATGAATTCTCTTTATTTAGCTACAACAAAATGACATAAGATCCACGACGCGCGCGGGCGACGTTAAACGATACAATTATATATGACATTATGTAAGTATTTAAGTGTATAAAACAAGTATTTTTAATCTTTTAGAAGCTCAGTTACGCATATCACTACGGTGCTGTGTATTCACATTTTTTATTTATTTAATTTTATCTCTTCAATATCGGTTTGGAAATCTGTTTTCATTTTTTTTTTACTTTAGTAAAATAATCTTGCGATATATGAGAATCTAAGTTGGATTTTTCGGAATAGGAGTTTGCTTTTAGTAGGTAATTATTTTTTTTAAGGTGTTTAATTTTATTTAAGGAAAAGTTATTTTTAGTTGCGAGTTTTGGAGGTAAGGTAAAACAGGGAGAATTGATTGGTGGGGTCAGTTTTAAACATTAAATTGAGGTATTTTTTGTAAGTGGTATCAATAAACAGTTAAGAAAAATTACCTATAGAAAATGGTTATAGAAAACAGGTTCTACCCTAAAAGTTATTAGGACGGAAATACATTATATTAATTTTTTAAGTAAGAAAATTTTATCCTTAGGTATTTTGCAAGAGAATATTGTAAAGTCCTTTTTGAAGGTCATTTTCGATTCCCAAACCGATATTAAATATATCTACGATCATTAATATTGCTATACATCGACACTACATGAAGTAGCTGACACAATAGATTACCTAACACACATTAAAGCGACTTTTAAATTAAAATTAACAGTAACAGTTTAATAAACAAGAATAAATTTAAACACTAAAAGTAATAAAAATAAAATATTAATAAGTAACATTATAAAAAACCGCCAATCGTTATTATTTTACCACAGACATTTTTAATAATAATAAATATATTTTCGTTTCTCGATAATAATAGTGAATAAATTCCAATATTTTTTTTATTTGTGATATTTTTTTAGTTGTTAAAATTATGAAATTTTTTTTAGTATGGGTGCGGATAGTAAACAATTTTTTGTTTTATAAATTATATAGTTTCCAGTGTAGATAACATTAGTTTTATATTCTCTATATACTCTTATCAAGGTACATGGAAGGCATGAGGCGTGTGCACTAACAATATTTGTCCGAAATAAAGGACATATTCAATAAAAACACAGTTTCTATACTAACCAATAAATTATTAACATCTTCATACTTTACATTTAAATGAAAGTCAAGTACTTATACAATTAAATGAACCAACATTTTTTTATTTAATATTAAATATCATTAAATACGACATCTCGATTCTACAACAGAAATCAACATTTAATTTTTAAGAAATATTTTTCTAATTTCTCTTGTAAATTTATTTTATATTATAACTACATTTTTTTTTCTAAATTCTAAGCTACATAAAGATGTACGCCATACTGCTTTGCAACATCTAATGCTAGAAATACAATAAGTATAAAATTGAGCTTTGTTGATATGTATCGTTACAATTAATCTCAAAGTTTTCATTTTGATATGCACGTGTTACTTTGGATCACTACATTAAATGAAATTAAATTAAATGGAATAATAAATACATTTTTTCAACATTAATAGTTTTTTATAAATTAATTAATACAATCATTCTAATATATTACATAAGTAAAGTGTGATCCAATAAAAGCGTATTTTACAACATTTTTTTATAGAAATAAGAAGGGATTTCTTTCATTTAATGTTGACAAACATTATTTCACTTTAAATGAACATGTATTTTAACAAACATGAAGCGTGTTTGTGCAATAATTTCCTAAGCGATCGGGCCATTGTTTAAGTTAGATATTGTCAACTTAAAAAAGCCGTGGATCGATATTATATTGCTCTTTTTGGTGAAATAAAGCTATTATGGAAGGATATACACAAATACAGTATGTATTTTTGTGTTATAACATATTATTTTTAAATATTTTGTGACATTTAACCCGTTTTTGTAACTTTGTGTTATATAGCTTATAGTATTTTGCAACCTATTTTGTTTAACCTAAGCCTTAAAGGTTTTTTAATAATGTTTTCACCTATACAAATGTATAGGTCATACTCAAAAAATTTGGAAATAAGTTCCTATGTTGAACTTTATTTTTAATTTTTTGAAAGGCTTATGTTATGTTGCAAAATATTTTGTTGTTTCTTTGATTAAATATTAGGTACTTATAAACTAAATGAATTCGCTTCAACATTGGATGTTGTTGATTTCGAAACTCATACATTTACCTATTTTTTATTATTAAACGGAACTAAAAAACTGAGAATCAATTCAGTTGGAAGGTACTTACCTACATAATAATTTATTAAAAACACATTATTTTCCCTTTATTCAAATATAATAACAGCACATTAATTCACTTAACAAAAATGTCATTTCTTCACATTAAATTATTTCATTTATTTTTCACTTCATTTCATAATTATGACATAATTTATTTAGTGAATTAATGTGTATTTCGCTTTAAATTTATAAGTCCAACGTTGAAATATATTATGTTGGATTTATATTTACTATGGCTGGGTACCTTTCATAGTTTGTAAGTACTTTAAAAAAAGAGAACTATTACTACGCCAACGATGAGAATGTGGTGATTTTAGTTCATTTAACATTAATGCATTAATGTGATATATTTTGTGTTAAGATGATAACATATAGAATGAAATAGCATTAAAAGGGTTTCAAAGTAATAGTAAATAAACAGGATTACTATTTATTAATTCTGAGATATTAGTTCCTAAACAGATATGTCACCAGTTCCTTCGAATTTTGCTATTAAAGGTAATTTTTATTGTATGTTAGTAGAATGAATAAGTAAACAATAGCCTCCTGTTTATGTACGAAACGCTCCCGAAAAACACCGACATGGGATAGTCAAAAACAAGTTTTATTTTAATAGAATTAAATGTTTCTTTTGTGTAACAATAGTTGTAAATAACTGGTCAAGACTAATGTTGCATGAATAACGCGATTAAAATTGCAAAAACAATTTCGTTTTGACAGCGTTTCGGGAGCATACCTTGTATTTACTATTTCTGATCTGTTATACAAACGATTAATGTTATTGAAAATACGATTTCGTAAATTTGCAATAAATACTTTTAAAATTATATACTATAATGTCAAATAATTACAAGTCTTCTTAAATGAACAGGAAACATTCGGAAACAGTTATATAATAACTATCGTGAGACATTCTAAATTACCTAAAAATGCGAGTTACGTGAATATACTGAGAAATGAGGGGTTATTCTTCATGGTCATAATTCAAACGCGCGTCGTGTCCGACAGAGTGCGCGATGGGCTCGCAGCGCAAGTAACAGCACCGATGCAGGCGCTAACGCTAGCTCGCGCCGCAGCCAGCGCCGCGCACGCTGCTCATAAAGAAGAACCCCTTTGTGGTTCGAAACTAGTAGAGCCTTTCTCAGTATAATCACGTGAGTAACCCACGATTTTTAGTTAAGTCAGAAACAATGCTTCAAAGTTAGTTTAAATGAATGAAGTAATTTTCTTCAACGTTTTAATTGTGTAAAATCTATTTCAGACTGAATATAAAATGCGTAAATTGAAAAAAATAACTTAGAAACCCCAAAAATTCCAAGGAACTGTCAACACTTAGACATTAGTCAGAGAGGCATTAACAGTACATTCTAAACATTTCTATACTTTAAAGATTCTTTTAGAACACAAGAGCTCTACGTCTACTTCAAATTAAAGCTTTATTCTTTACCAATTTACATTACATATAATATGTCGTGTAATGTACAGAGAATACATTTATCTAAGTGTATTTTCCTAATTATATAGAATTGTGTTTCGAATAAAACTCTGTGATAGCATTGTGTCTGTTGAGACTCGTGTCTATTTTACTTCATAAAAGAAATGGATTTCAATGATTGAATAACGAATAGATTAACTAGATAGAAGGAATAGCTTGCATATTTTTTACAAAATCTAATTCATTCCTGTACCTAATGATATAAAGAAATTCAAAGTGCAAGAAGTAAAAAGATAAGATACATAAGGTACAACGAAATCTCAAAAAACGACGAAGAGGTTTACACTCCAAAATATACCGAAAAAAGAGAACATCAAGTAATATCTTGTATAAATCTGACTGCCTGGATGGTGTGGTGGCTGGGCAACGTGTAGCGGGTTCGATCCCCGAACGGAGCAACTCTTTGTGTGATCCACAAATTGTTGTTCCGGGTCTGGGTGTCATGTGTATGTGGACTTGTATGTTTGTGAACGCACCCACGACACAGGAGAAAATCCTAGTGTGGGGCAACGTTTTTTTTATAACAAAATATTCAGACTAGGATACTTAAAATTCAATTCACAACAAGCAGCCACTATTAAACCAACCAAAAATCTATATTTCAACTTGTTTTGACCACGAGTTTATTAAAATATGTTCTATTAAATAACCACCAGTAAAGTTTTGCTCGAAACTACACATTCTCTAATAGTGCATTCACATTGATGGATTATAATATATCTATATAACAGTCGACTAACAGAAGGGCGATCACTACATCAGACACTAACTAGTCTAAGTTAGGAGAAACCAAGAACAACAAGGGTTTCAATATTGCAGACATGTTTGTGAACCGTGATGAAGACAAAACGTCTTTTAATGATAGAAGTGAAGAGGTACATAATGATAAACAGGATCCAAGAATATCTGATGAAGATTTTGAATTTAATGCAGTAAGAGATAATAATCTTAGTGTACAGTTTGAATTGGAAGATAGTGATGAGATTGAAGTAAATCTCACCATAAATGAAGTAAGAAATAAAAAAAATATAAGGATGAAACGTTCGACACTATTGCTTTGTGGATATACAAGTGTAATTCTAATAGAATTTGAAATTGATTCAAAAATACTTTTTTTGATCCAAAAATGGAATTTAGATGTACTAAGTCTAGTTGAGAAAATAGAAGAAATAAAGATAAGTCAATGTCTGCAACATGAAACAATCTACGCTACCGGAGATACAAACCCAAATTCTAACAGTGTAAAAGGCGTAATACACTTATTTACAAAACCCAGCCTTTAAGATCGACCTACAAGCACCAGTTCTAAGTCGAAAATAAAACGAAATACAACTATGATATGTTTCATATAATCTTGTCAGTCTTCAAACTACTTCTAGATTCAGTCCTAAGCTAACGGATTTTATAATCCCATAAGAAGAGGACGCGATATTTCCAAAAATGAAATCACCAAAAAGCTTCATCGAATCATAATAAGTACATCCAATATCATAATACACATCTCTAGAAAAATATTTAAGTATAATTGCATCAGCAACAAGTTCATTTAAATTATTAAATATTGTAATACTCACAGCTTTTATGATATGTATCATTTCCTTAATATTATTTACATCTATAAAACTTACATCTATTTCATTTGTGATATGTTTTACTCGTGAGTTACTTGAAGCAAGTGCATCGTGCTGATTGTCAGTGTACTTAACAACATCTACTAGTCTAATATCAATAAATTCATCGTAACATTTTAAAATAGATATAAAATTGATATTTTCTTTTAAAAAATATCTTTTGAAAGGAACGATGGCTAACGTTGAAGGATTGCGTCCTTCGAATCTTAGCTTAATAGTGAATAAATTCGACAAAGAATTGACGAAAATTTTGAAGAAAAGGACAGTTTTGATGAATGTAATAGTGTCTTTGAGGTTGTAGAGGATAGTAAGGAGAATTATGGTTAGGTAGAAGAGCTTGACTGGCCTGTGGGAAGTAATGGCCGAGCTGGGGGGCGTTGGGTACACGACGTCGACTTCAGCGATCTTGAATATGGAGAGCAGAAGATGGGAGGAGATGTCTTCGTGCTGGGAGTTGATGCGGGACTTCACGACTTTGAGAACGTCGATACATTCCTCCTGTAAGTTCATTAACAAATAGCCAATATTGTAAATTCGTAATTTGCTTATTAGTTGGACATGAATAAACCCGTATGCATCTCATAGTATAGACTTTGCGAAAAAAGTAAATCTTTTCGTATCACTCGCATTGCATTTGTCAAACTACTCTGTCATCTACTTGCGATAAGGCTAAGATTGAAAGGCAAAGCCAACTAAGGGAAAACATCGGTTTGAAATCCAAATGGAGTAAATGTTATTTCTACTTCCCGTTATCATTTTCTTCCTATTCTTCGTCCAAAACCATAATATAATCTACGATAACATTATTAAATAATATTATCCCATCTTTATTTCAAGGACTTACCTTTTCCCTGTCCAGCAGTGCGTCTCCAGCCTCTCTTAGCATCTCCTGCTCGCGTGGTGGCACGCTCGCTGAGATGATCACATTCTCATTGCTGATGTTGAACAACGTTAGCGTGCAATTCGTCTGCAAGAGTTTTGAACAATTTGCATTTCTTGGGGCAGCAAACGAGGTGATGGATCTCTAATGGTTATAAATCTCCCTACTTATGGATACCCGTAACACCCGAGTAGTGATAACTGACATTTGAAGAAAGGCTAGGAATTGGGGCGTTCGAGCGACTGACTAGGGGAGTCAGTCGTCCGCTGTATGGGCGGGAGTAGGCGTCAGCGGTGTGTTCATGCGCGCGACTCGAGGAAGAAAATCGCAGCTTTTGAGGGCTGCTACGTGGTGAGACCTGCCACAATGTAGTGGTAGGTCGAGGCCTGCCGGGTGCGGTGAAGCCGCAAGGGCGTCCCGGGTCACGGCCACAGGCAGAGGAGGAACACCGCAGTGGTTTTAGCAGTTTTGGTAAGAGTCCGGCACACCCCCCCGTCGTCCCCACGGCGTGGGAAGTCCATGAGGATTTCCATCGCGTTACAAAAAAAAAATGAATAGGGGTCACGGCCCAACGCCCCAATTCGCCCAGATTATTACTACGTATAGTAAAAATAAATTAAATTCGCAATCAAATAGTTTTCTACATGGTTGTAATACATGTGACAGAAGTTATTGTAAGTTAACAAAATTTTAAGGTTCCTTGTATATTCTACTTAATTGGCATGCTATTTGTAATTTAAAGAATTAATTAATCCAAGAATTCTTGTACTGAATAATAACGCTTGTACAAAAGTACTTCTGTAACATGCTTTTTACTTTTTTTTAGTGATTGTTGCTTGATTCTAGCGCCCATTGCATCCGTATTGCGTGGATATTGAATGAACTAAACGGTATTGAGTTCAGCTTTATATTCCGTACTCTGACGCTATTGTAACAGCTACAAATGTGGTTGTATAGTTTTGACATTGAATAATTATTGAGATTTTATTGGATTGAAATTGCATTGACATTGAGATTGGTTTCAAAAGAAAGCAACTAGAGGGCTTACTCTTGAATCCAATTCCGATCGATCGACATTGGTATTGTGAAATTTCGTACTCTTGAGTTTCAACACTAGCGCCCATTGCATTCGCATTACGTGGATATTGAATGAACTAAACGGTATTGAGTTTGGCTTTATATTCCGTACTCTGAATGCTATTGTAACAGCTAAAATTGTGGTTGTATAGTTTTGATATTGATGAATTATTGAGATTTTATTGAATTGAAATTGCATTGACATTGAGATTGGTTTCAAGAGTAAGCACCTTGGCCAGGTTGGTAAGAATCATGTGCCCCAACTTACCCCCTCACTATGTACCGTATAAAGGTACTGCTGCAGCAGACGTACAGCATCTTCAGCTCCTAAGCCAGTGTGTGGCCGAAGAAGAGCTTCATCTACTGCGCTGAAGCCCAGGAGTAGGTAGACGCCTTCTGGTAGCTTGTATTCACCTGGAAATGTGATAATATAGGTTTTAATATAAAGATAGTTAAAAAATAATGGCTGTTAAATTTTGTGTTCAGTTAGCAGAGGTGAAAAAAAATCTACAAAAATAATTAGTGTGTGGTGTTTAAAGGTGGTATTGTCGGTAGGTACAACCTACAACTGACTGCCTCGTTGGCTGTGGTCGCAAGTACGACTGCCGGGCAAGGGGTCTCGGGTTCGATTCCCGGGTCGGGCAAAGTATTACTGGGTTTTTAAAAAAAAACTCAGTAGTAGCACGGAATCTGGAATTGTGCCCGGTATATGGTAATAGACTCACTCCCTATTACATGGGACTCATAACATAAATAGTGAAAAGTGGGTGTTACCTTGCATAATATGCACCTCTGCCTACCCCTTCGGAGATAAAAGGTGTGCAGTACGCGTGTTAGGTAGTGGTTGTACGCAATCTATTTATTAGTTGTAGTCTTTTTAAGTTGTAATATCTACAACGTGGGTGATGTTCGGTGATTTATTTCATAACTAGAGAATTGCATTGTGAACCTAAAAACGAGTAACCTATGCAGTTTCTTGCTAGTTCTTCTCTACAGGAATCTACACTTTGGAATGAGCAAACGGCTTCACTTTTAAAATTTTTGTTGACGTTCAAAAATGCCTTCCTGGTCTAATTGAAATAAATGATTTTGACTTTGATTTTGATTTCAAATACATATTTTTAAAATGACTGCACGGGGTGGCTATGCAACCGGCTGCCATGCAACGTGTTCGATTCGATCCCCGCACGGAACAACTCTTTGTGTGATCCACAAATTGTTGTTTCGGGTCTGGGTGTCATTGTGCATGTGAACTTGTATGTTTGTAAACGCACCCACGACACTGGAGAAAATCCTAATGTGAGACAACGTTTTTTTTTTAATAGTTGTGATATAATAAGTCTGCTAATAAACCTCTGTTATACCTATTAGTGGTACATTTGCAATAATTTGCTTTTTCTGCATAGTGATTAATTGTGCCTGTACTTCAATAATGCGTGGAATAAAAATTGAAAAAGATAACAAAAATAATGACTGACACAGTTTTTACCTTTAACCTTACCTGGATTAGGCCTCATGCAGATAAAAGACCCAGAATAGCAGTAGCATCTTCCTCTATAGGCCTGGTAGGCTGGTGCAGCATGAGAGTAGTGGGCCAGGCGAGAGGAACATGGGGCTCGAGGCACACAGGCCACCTTGCAGGACACCTGGAGCGTGGCCTCACAGACGCACAGGTCTGTGCATTCTGCCAGCTCAGCTGAACGGTATAGCTGGAAATTTAAGAGGTACTGTTAGTTTTTCTTGAATATCTTGGCTTACAAACTGAAGATCAAGATAGGCGTGCTAGAGAAATACGCTGAGCAGGCATCAAATATTATTACAATGAATTGTTAATGTTGAATGTTTTTTAGTAAAATGTAATGGATGACTTTTATCAAGTAGGAAGTCTACGTTCGTAGCATTAATTTGATTGCTGTCCTGAACGCCATTGGAATATTGCTATGTTTAGTTTTTTTCAGATTTGATGAATGCTAATCGATTAAAATACATAATAGCTTTGGATGTATGCGTTCGGATTCTTTAACTACGAAATACGTTTTACTGAGCAAAATATTGTTTAATAAATTATAAATGAAACAAAATATATTATTGAAAATTAAGAAAATTAATACTTACTCGTCGAGTTTCACCCATCTTGATGTACTGCGCCTGATCATCACTCTCAGGCTTTTTCACGATGCAATATTTAGTCGGTTCCAGCGTAGTAGTCGGTCTTGGTGTAGTCGTAGTAGTCGTGGTAGTTGTAGTGGTCGTCGTCGTAGTAGTTGTCGTAGTCGTAGTAGTCGGGGTTGTTGTAGTTTCCGTCGTAGTTTCAATTACGGGTTCGGAGATCTGCGCAACTTCGTTGGGTCCCACCGTCTGTTCCGACATGGTGGTAATTGGGCTTAGTTCATCTCGGTTCTCCTGGAAATTTTGCAGAAGATTTGTAAGTGTATGGAATTCAAACGCTGGATTACAAGTAAGTTTTGGATCGTGATATGCGTAATTAGCTTTTTAGAAAATCCGTATTCTTTACTAAAAATTTGTCTCATGAAATGATGTGTATGTATTAGAAAGTGTACCGAGGGGAAAATAAATTACTAAGATTACCTTTATTAGTGGATGACGTTGTGTTATGATCTAGTATATAAAAGTGACGGTTTTAGAGGATTTTTGGAGCAGTTAAGGTTACCAAAATGATACGAGAATTCCTTGGATATTTAGGATTATTTATTTTTCTTATAGTAAAAATGGACTTATAGTGAAAATTACCTGAATAGTATCAATTTGAGAGCTCTTATCCTGCGTAGTATGGCGATGGTGATGGGTGGTAGTACGATGGTAGATCGGAGACTCCGGAGCAACCGTGATGTAGCGGATACCGTTGTCAAATGGCGTGGTCGTCATCAGCGGGCCGTAGGTCTTCATGTGGTAGTCGCTTTGAGATTCCACTGGAATTTTTAGTGATGGATTACGATTAGAGATCTAGAGTAGCTAGGTTATCAGAGATACCCAGAGTTTAATCAAGTAATGTTAAATAGACCCTTAATTGCAACTTTCTCTAGATAATCATATTTGGTTCTCATTCAAAAGTGCCTGCCTCAGTCTAATTAGAATAAACAACTTATGAGGAGGAGTGATGATTGGGCCTACGAGATTTTTACCAAGATTTCACATTTGTCAATTGTGTGTTGACATTAAAATGGACGAAAATAATAAAATAATATAATGGAGTGATACCACAGCCTCACACAAGACAGACGTGAAACAACGTTGTGTTGTGTTTCGTCGTGAGAATGAGTGTGTTAGTCGTCAAATTCCTAATTCAGAAGGCCGGTAACGCACTTTTAACGCCTCCGGTGTTCCAGGTGTCCATGGGTGACGCTGATTGCTTACCATCAGGTGATCCATCTGCTCGTTTACCGGCTTATCCCATTAAAAAATTATAATAAAACATATATAAATGAAATAACAAAACAAAATGTAGCTCACCAACGCAAGGATTAAGCCAGAGCAGTCGTTGCCATCCAAGGCAATCATACAGCTGGGCGAAGTCAGTGCCGCGACAGGCACATGCTGCTCGCAGCTGGGTGCCTAGTACTGCAACCACGGCTGCTCTGCAGGCGGCAGGAGAGCCTGCACAACCTTGGGTAACTGCGTCCACTGCACACCATTGCTCGTAGTTTTCTAGGCGGATCCTGGAAATTGGATTTGTTAAAGAATTAGTGTGGACCCGGGTACGTCCTAAAACTGCGATCAGACACCGAGGAATGGGCTGCAGCATTCTATAAATACATCGGTGACCTAACTGCAATCCCCAAGCCGCCTGCCACGCTTGGCAATTTGGCGCTTGGATGGCACCAAATACCAATTAGTCAATCACCAATATAACTTAATGGGCCTTTAGTTGATCGACTTCAGGTGATTGAAGGGCTGGCTACTACCTTGAACAAAGGTTAAGCATTGCCATTCAAAGTGGCAATGCTGCCAGTCTTTTGGGCACCCTACCTTACGATAGCAATGAGGAAAATTTTTTCTTTAATGCCTTGAGAAAAATTAATACAATTTTTCTTATGGTGTAAATAATTTAGTTTTAAATTATTTATGTTTTAAGTTGTATATATTTATTTAATTTAAATTCATTCTTATCAATTGTGTTATAAATTATATATTAATATAATTCAACTAAAATTTGTATGTATTGGACGAAACCAGTAGAAATGATTTTTAAATGAAATCAGATAAAACCATCTTCTTTTTTAGTTAATCCGTTTTGTATTAGCTATATTATATTTCCAAATATTAGGCACAGTTCATCATTTAACCTAATGTGAATTATCAAACAACTGCACCTTGACTTCATATCCCAAACCCCCTCCTCTTTCACAAACCATGGCTGTCCATTTATCCCATCTTCAACCCATCAATCACGGGCATTACATCGCTAGTAGGCAAGTGATGTCCAATCAACTAGGTACCACAATTGGAATGACTAAGGCCGGTCTAATTCAGCCTGTGTTTCTAGATTGGCTCTTGTATGTGGTCATCGTGATTTCGACCTTATTGGATTGGTTTGCTGTCAATTGTGATTTGAAATTTGCTTGTAGGCTTTTTTGAAGGAGTATTCTGTTCAGTACATTTTGTCAATGGATTGATTATGTTTATACGTCTATCAGAAGAAAATTGTTTTTCGTTTGTAATTGTTTTGTGAAAAAGGGTTTTGTCAAGTATGTTAGATTTAGGGCTCGTACACACAGCGATGCGTTGCGATCCGAATTCGCAACGCAGAAAATGCGAATTGTTGCGATGAGATTTCGTGCGATAAGACGTCTCCCAGGCTGACCATTCTTTCGACAACCGTCAATCATACTAAACGTATTTTAAATTGAAAACTAGGTCGTGATATGGATCATAAAAAGAAGTGTGCACTTCTGTTATTGCTTAGGAGATATAGGAAAAAAAACAAAGACGATTTTGGGAAGATAAGATTTTGATGCGCGATGTAAATCAATTTGTAAGTTCTTGCGATGCGTAGAGGGAGCTTGCGCATTTTTGCGATGCGACGTCGCATCGCAGATTTGTGTACGAGCCTTTATATTTTATTTTAGATTTTGTTAAATGAGACTTGAAACGCGAGTAAAGGCCATCAAGGCTGTCAAGGTTATAGTTAAAAATTGTAATTAAGTCAGTAATAATAGGATTAAATTCATAATAACTGAAATGAATGTAATCAGTAAGACAAGTAGTACGTTACCGTTGACCGATGGTTACATTAATAACTAAGTTATCTTTTTAAGGCTTTAGTGAAACAGAGGGGCGTAGCTAGCGTCGTATCTGCCGTATCAATTATAAGGGGCCCCCGGACTACAGGGGCCCCCAACATGCTTAAGCAAAAATTAATAAAAACTTCCCAATTTTGATTCTATTTCTGTAATCGCAAAAGTCAAAAGAAACGATTTTTTCCCGCGTAAAGCATGCGTTCAAAGGTTGGTTGACACTTAAGAAAAATTAAAGTTATTAAGATACAATATAATATAAATTATAAGTATAATTATAAGAATAATAATAAATTATAAGTATTTTATAATTTGTGTAAAAAAATTCTGTTGTAAGAAATGTTTATCGTTCAAGGGCCCCTAAACAAATTTTTATACGGGTCCCCCAAGGCACGCTACGCCACTGGTGAAACAACAACTACAGTGATAGAGAAGATTAACAAACCTGCACTCCGGTTCTTCTCTGCAGGCATGCGCAAGAGTGTGGCAGGCTGGGAGCGGGGAGCCCACAGCTGGGCGCTGCGCACACGACGGGTGGAGACGCTCCTGAGCGTTCATGCACGAGTCCTCGCGATTATCGGTTTTCCTGGTAATTATAGCAAAATTGTCATGTATGCATTTGAAGGTATTATTTTTATCAATGAAATCGGTCGGCATTTGGCATCCATCTCGTCTGGTGGTAAGCGATGATGCGGCCTATGTTATTTATATTACATAGAAGGAAACGGTCGATAAACAAGTATTAGGCCAGAGATAGTTGTTAAGCTTTAAAGTGACGCCTTTATCACAGGGTACAGAACAAATATTAAGCCTTTGATTGTCAACAGAAAATATTTGAAGGTAAATCATGTTTTGACTGTCGGGAGCTTTAGATATTAACTCTATTCGTCAATGAGAGATGAGTTAATAGTCATATACAAAGCGTTATCCTAAGATTCGTGTCGTTACTTAGGATTGTAAAAATAGAAAACTACCATGAAAAATACTAACTGATTTTAATTTAAAAAACTAATTTTTTTATAATTGTAATCCTTGCTTTGCAGTCGTGTCTGAGACCACTTGACTAATGAGGCTACTATTATTAAGTATTACTTCCAGAATTTATATTCTTAATAAGTATAAATGTTATGTTAAGTTATGTATCATCATTATCACAACAATAACTTCTCCTTACTACCTCTTTGTCAATAAACCCACTTTACGTTATATTATTATAATTATGAAAAAATAAGATTGCTAAACACATCTGTTTGTTCTACGACCAATATCAGATATGGGTAATAAAAAAACAAACAAAACTCACTTGCAAAGGCAAAAAGCGATCTCAGTATTCCAATGCACTCCAGTCTTCCGATAAAATCCCCTAAGAGCCGCCATGCACCCTTCCCGGTCACAATCGCTGGTATGACACTTCTGCAGCACAGGAGTCAAAGAAGTCACGCACTCGCTGTCCTTGATGCAAGCGTCCAACGCCACGTGACACGTAGACTGAAGAGCCACCTTCTCATCACCTGGTTTACCGTTTTCCTTTCCAATTCTCTCTGTAGGTTGTGGTCATGTGTTAGTTGTAGTGGTGTCAGTTCGTGTTCATGATCACAAAGATGTTTAAAAAGGTACAAAACTTCTTTTAGAAAGTATATCAGTGTTCACAATACTAAGACTGAAATGATTACACAGCAACGATTTGTTAGGAAACTTGAATTGGGTAGTTTCAAGGGTATCATAATTAAAAATCTAATTAGTCCGTCAGTTAGATAATGAAAAAATATTAGACACGTTTTTTTATTTTCTCGTATTAAGTTGCAATACTTAGATAAAATGGCGCTAAGTTTAGGAGTGGGCGGTTGTTACGTCATAACGTGCTACAAAATGTGGCACGCTATGACGTCACACGATATTTCAAATTAATATATCGTCGAAAGTATATAATTTTGTGAGAAAAGGAAAAATACGTGTCTAAAGTTTTAAATTAATCTACCAGACGGACATTAAAATAAAATTTAGGAAACTACCCTATTAGACCATCAATGTTTGTTTGCGTAAAACATGCCAATCATTCTTGAAATCCAGAGTAATTGCTTTGTGAATCAACTTTTACGTCCAAAGAGGCTGTAACGAAATTGTTTAGGGTTTTCCAAACATCAGTTAAATAGGTTTTGGGGTTAATTTCGCAAGTTTAATACTTTTGATGTTATGTTTTATACTTTTGATGGAATGCCAATAAATTTTGGGATATATATCGTGCGTTAGTCTACGCGTTTTAACCGGTTTAGTTTATATTCCAATTAGTTTAGTTTATTTAGTTAGTTTATTATTTAAGAAGGTTAGCCAGACTCTATTAGTTCACCATTATCTCTCCCTAAACACCTAAATTATGAAAAGTTAAAGAAAAAGTGCTTCTACTCATAAGACGCAGTTTATTTAAACGCAATAGTAAATATAAAATAAATAAATACATTATAAAAAATAAATAAATGATAAAATTATTAATGGAACATAAGATAAAAGAATCGTTATATTGAAGTGTGGGTAATATGCTCATGCTAATATAAATATAATTTACATCATGTGGATAAAAATTGAGAATAATAATAATTATGGAATATTATGTGTGAGAGAACAATAAAAAATTACGTGTCGTGAATAAACACGATGAGTTTGCCAATGAAATCGATATAATCAGTATGAAAAATCTTACGTCAAATACAAGCGTTAATCTCAATAAATCAGACATGCTTTCAAATTACGTAACTCTTTGTGAGGCAAAAACTCCATGAGATATTTGTGCCGTTTCAAAGTTAAATATGAATAGAATATTTAATGGGTATACATGCATAGTGGACCGTGTACGACTATAAATAAATAACACTTCTTTCCAAATGTTATATCCGTGCTACACCCGGGTAACGTGGACAGGTCACACCCGTGGAACATGAATCTTGAGCGTAATTTGCAAAGCTTCGCGGAGATCCTCATCTCTAAGCGTTCTCGCTAAATCGCTCCTTTACAAACTAAATTCTCTACGAATTTTCGGATCAGGAAAGGAAGCACTCGAGGGCTCTAAAGCTAGTTATCCCTTCTAGTCATTGTCTCTACGCAAAGCTTTACTTCGTGTCCGGTTAGGTTTCTATCATTTACTATAAAATTGTGGAGGATTCTAAACTAAAGTGCTCGGAATACGGGGGTCGAAACAATAAGGGGGTAAAGAGCACTCAGAATAGTAACATGGAGGTGCTAAAGAAATGAATCAGATCACCCATGTATCAATGGGTTCCTAAAACCGTCTAGTATTGTACAGTTTGGAAGCTCGAAGTGATGTGACTTACGATATCTATGGTTAGTTGTACTGTCTGTTATATATGTGTTTCTTTTTTTTGTAAAACCTCATATTTTGGTTACGTCAACTAATCTTTTTATATCACTTATGCTAGACATCAATAAAGTGTAACAGATAGATAGTGTGGTGGACTACCGACAGGAAAAAGATTAGTCAACGCATTGATATACCAACGCTATACGTACGGTTTTCATCAATGTATCCTGGCCCGTAGACTGTCTTGGTCGCGTACAAGGGATCTTCACTTCCCCCCGGCTCATGGTTCCAGCGATGGTAATGGTGCCCGTGGGGATTGTAGTGAGGACTCGCATAACGGTGGATGTGCGTCATAATTTTGTCCGGAGCAATCAGGTTCCCATCATGTGTTATTGACATTCCGCCGATCCACGAAGTCACACCGGTCCCATTTCGATTCGCGATTCTTCCATCCGACATCAGCTTTACTGGAATTTCATCCATCGAATCGCTTAGCTGAGGCAAGCTCGACGATCGAGCCATAGCGCGACGGGACTCCGAAATCGTAACATCAGAGGCGATCGCGCCGGTCGATCGACGTACATCGATATTTAGAAAAAACTGACCTTACGGACGGTAAATATAAAAATGACAATCCAATACAAAACAACGATTAATCGCAAACGTTACGACATTTAACGGGCAAAAATTAAAAATTTCCAACGATTTAGAAAATGTCCCGGTAAAGAAATGATTAGCAAAGCCTCCCCGGTTGGCAGTCCCGCTCGAACTATTTTCAAAGCCAGTCTATGCCGCGCAGTAACCATAGAGATCGTAGAAAAATAGGAGATGCAGAAAGAAAACATGCAGACATGCGCATTTCAAGATTCCACAATAGACTTTCAGTCCGTCTAACACAACACCACGAGTGAAAGTCTAAAATGGTGTAAATAGGAAAAGGAGAGCAACAATCTATAAAGCATGCAGGCATAAAGTAGGAGCGGATTTCCATTAAATATTCATTAGAATCATTAAGGAGACTTAAAAGCTAACTCCGCACTCACTAAGTATGTAGCTAATTGAAATTCTATTCAGATCCTTATTATTAAAATTGGGTCAGCCTTCACTAAGTCAAGTTTTCAGAAAAATTCTAGAATTTCAAATTGTTAAAGCCGTGTCTTTTATGATAGAAAGCTGAGACGTTAATTTGTATATTCTAAATTGTGACGTTCCGTGTAATATTTCATAAAAACCGCTAAAAATGTAAATAATTTGAAAATATTTGCTATAGTGTATCGGCAGCCATTTTCTGGTAGACTTGATTGTTGGCACGTATAGCCACGCTCCTACCTTACGAAGCGTAGTGCGAAGCGTGCAGTGCGAGAGGCGACGGAATCCGACAGACACATAGAAAGAGAGAAGATGAAGAGAGGGTGCGGCGGCGGCTCACCGTGGCGGGGCCGAGGGGGGCGCGGGGAGAGGAGGGCGGCGCGCAGGAGGCTCGCGGCCGCGGCGCGAGTCATCAGCCGCGTGCCGTTCTCGGTGAGAAGCAGGATGGTACCGTCGGGAGCAGCGTAGCGTGTGAGCGCCGGCGCGCGCGCAGTCGGGCGGCGGGGCGCTTCAAACAGCGCCCGAACCGCCGGCGGGCAATCGCCCCACGCCGCCGCTGCCCCACAACCACGTTACCAACAAACACTACCACCCACCACCTCTGCTCGCTCACCCACCGCACTACGAACACCCTCAAGGGAGCTCACTCCCTTGAGAGTACTCAAGAAACCAGGTAGACGTGACTAGGGTTGTGTGTGCCGCCCCGAAAGACGATACTGACAAAAGACCGATTACCGAAGGCCGAAGGTGTTGGAAGCCAAGAGTTGAGGTAACTGCGGGCATTTGTACGGTGTGTGGTCAGGAGTACACTAAAAAGAAGCTAGTGTCCAGTGAAACATAAAGTTGAAACAGCCTTGTGTGGTAAAGTAGTGATCTAAGTCAATCCTAAGGCCTATGCATCTAAGTTGTGTTCAAATAAAATAGGCACGTATAACAAAGTAATGGAAAACGAAATCAAATACGTAAAACAACTAAGTAAACACGTTGACGGCTATTTGAAAGTGAGTCTAGTACTCCTTCAGAAGCATTTTATAGTGTAGTGTTATTGTTTTGTTGTTATTTATGTATTGTTTTATGCTGTACGTTTTGTAGACCCGTGTCGTATGCTTAAATAACATTATTCTTTTTATTACAATAGCTTACATTAACATAACATCTATAGAACACATAATGATGTTGATGGTGTCCCGCAAGGATGGATCTTAGGACCAGTGTTTATACATTACATACATACATCAAGACAGGATTTTGATAAGTGTCACTTATATTACGCGTGTACCTATGCGTTGCCAGTTTAAACACTTAAAGCTATTGCTAGTTAGTTTCATATTATTGAGTTCACGAGTTCTGAGTGAATACTTTAACAAAAATTATACAGACAAATGACAATATTTACAAAACACATTTCTGGAAATGAACAAAGATAAAAATAATTCCTAGTTTCTAGAAAATTCTAATAGGAACCTAGTAACTATAAAACCAGTGCTAGTAGCAAACAAAACATGAGCTCCATCTATTCTTCAATTTCCCAACAACATGTTGGAATAACATCGCTAACGGCTTGTCATTTTCAGATTACCTCGAACATAACAATACAGTTTGAAAGGTATTTTTCACCGAACGCCTCGGCTCGGATATTTTCCCCTGAAGCTTGATAGCTAGAGTAATTTGTACAGATGTATATGTTCCCACGTCGGGGCAGCCATGTTATATTTTAAACTTTGAACAAACAGTCTGTGTCTTTCTCGTTTGAAAATTAAAATTTAGAACGGTGGGATTTGTCCTGTGTGGTGTTTGCACGCTTTTTTAATGTATTTTTATTGATAGGTATAACATATCCTTAGCTTTGTATATTTATTAACATTTTCATTTTTACGAAATGTGCTTAATTTTGTTATAACCAATGTTTTTAAAATTCTATTAAAATCTTTAATTTTATGTTCCTTTAACATAGTAATGTTGATTACGTAAGTAGTAGTTTCTTTTATTTTTAGATACTATAATTTTGTGTTCCTTGTGCGTTTGTATAGTTTTTTTTATCACTTCATTGTAAAGTTGGTTAATCTGTAAGTAATTGGCGACTATATAAGCCCAATACCTTCGTTATCTCTTAATACTATATATACAGAAGCTATTGGTATACCTATTTAGATAAGTAATAGGTATTATCGTAAGTTTTTTTTTTTAATTCTAACAAACTATTTAGGGGCTTTTATCACAGATATGTCAGCCCCATCGTACCCTTTACATTACTTTACGTACTTAACATTGACTCACTTGATTAATTGTTATTCGTGGAGGACCAAAATCAAATAGCACAACTTTTTCATAATCGCTGAAGATGGTACAGATAAAATGGATTGTATAATGCCTACATCAAATTTATTTATTTTAAAATCCTTCACGAATATCTCACGTTCTTCTCCATTCCGAATTATCGTAAGTTATTAACTTAAAAGGGTTAGGTGTGCTATGAACTTCCTAGGTTTGGACGAGGCATTTCTTCTGCTATATTTTACATACTCGTATTTTACAGTTTTCTAATACCCGTGTCTATTTGTCGTATACTTTTTTCTAAAATGAGATGACGATGCCAAACTAAAATCTATTATTACTAAACATTACTAAAAACTAAACTAAGGTCTAGAAAATTAGTTACAGAATCAGCAATTAATTGTGAAGTAATTGTTGTTCGTTCTTAAGTAAAGTTTAATAAATCACAATCGAGTTAAAAATAAGTATAAGTACCTCTATACATACTTAGATATCTTCTAAGAACAGATTTTACACCTGAATAAAATTAAAAACGCCGGCGAGATATGCTAATATGTTTGAGAGAAAATTCAGAGTAACGATTTCTGAGAATGTCATCAAAATTCCAATTAATTTTCTTTCTATTGTTTGGTATAATTGAGGTTTACTTTTGCGTACATAGGCATACTATAGATATTTTTGTGTATAAGCATATGCAGAGAACACTATTACTTCCTATAGTTCTTAAATATTGAAGTTTTTAACTACACATCGCGGGTTACTCACGTAAATACACTGAAAAAAGGTCTATTAGTTTCGAACCACAGAGGGGTTCTTAGCAGTCTAAGCAACCTACGTTGGCTGCTCGACATTGCCGCGACCGCGCACGATGCTCATGAGGAACCTCTGTGGTTCGAAACTAGTATACCTTTTCTCAGTTTATTCACGTGAGTAACTAGACTACTGATTTTTAGTTAACTTAGTATGTATTATATTTTTTTTGTGAAAATATAAGCACATGTTACACTTTCACAATTGTATTTACGAACATTCAATCAACCCAGTACCTAATTCTCGTTTTATTTTCACTTTAACGAAGTGCAAATACTTGAGTACACTGACAATAAAGGGTCGGGACTCTTTTTTCCGTTTCCCGGTCATTATGAGTCGGTTATCCGCCTGTTAGCAACGCCCCGGGTACAATATTACCCGGATATTGCCCTAAAACGATCCGGTACGGACACACGGGGAATTAGACAGACATGGGAGGTCACATATACTTTGGGGCAATTAGAGGTACAAGGAGTATTGTTTCTTATCGTTTTGAGGATTGGAATTATTTTTATTTCAGTAGTTCGTTAAACGAAACGGATTTGAAAATGTTTGAAATATGTTTCAATAACTTTATCTATGTTGCTTTGCTTATAGGGATACCATCATATCACATCAATAGTCCGCCTCCCCTGACTGTCCACTGCTACACGATAGGCCTCCTCTATATAAGAGGGGTTTGTCTTTGTCATAATCGCACCCGCTGGCAGGCGTTATGCGGCTTTTATGAAACCCACGACAAGAGTAGACCCGTGCGTAAGGTGCTTCGCGTTTGGCGTGGGCCTCAAAGAACCATCAGCCCTACAGAGCCCCATGCCCTGTAGGGCTGATGCTCGATACGGAGCCGAAGAAGGCCTAATGGGTTGCCGGGGCTCCGAGTCGCAGGAGTAGGAAAGGGGTGGTTTTTAATCAGTAAGAGTCTGAAACTCCCTCTCGCTTAACCCAAGGCGGGAGAAGGTTTAGGATGACGTTATCCTTCAAAAAAAAAAAATTCTAATACAGGTTATTATAATATTTTGATTTTTTCTAACCGTTTCTATTAAATTCCAGCCAGTGATGGGGCTTGAACCTAATATTAACTTCCCAAATAACAAATAATTGGGTCTAGTATAACCACAGCTTTAGTGACCTCATCAGGAAATAGGAGTCACAATCTAATATTTAATATTTGTTCAGAAATCAGGCCATAACTATGTAGGCAAGTCCTTGAACTGGAACAAATATTGACAGTAATGATATATGAATGCTTGAACCTAGTTAGAAATAATCAAAGAATGTACCATCACGTCATGTC